ACACTGAAGACTTAGTAATGGCTTTTATTTAAATGTAATAAAAAATCCAGTTACTGTATTTTTGAACAAACAATTGGGCTGCGTCCAAAATCGCGTACAATGTGAGTAGGTACTACATATAAATAAGAACGTACTTCGCGACCGTTAAAAAAGTACGTTCTATATATTATGAATATGGGTAGTATGAATGAGTCTGGACGTACTACATGCACCATGTTGTCACGTGACGTGACATACGCTGTGACAACAGTGCGAAAATTTAAAGAGCCCATTCCAGTGACTGCACCAACTTCGCGCTGCTTTCTGTTTTCAGCTGCGTTTTTACGTCGTCCGAGCCGACAATCAAGAGGAGCCGTCGGTCAGCTCCTCGCAGATCACGCCTTTTGTGGAGTTTCTCCAATAACATTAATAGCTAATAAATTTTACCTCATAAAACACACACACAACCCCTGTGAACAATGACAGATGTTGATTTTTGGCAAGGAAAAAGCCATTTATTTGCTTGTGATATTACCATTGATAAATAAACATGAATGAATCAATAGAGAGATATCTTCTAACGTTACAGCCGCGTGCGTCTCCGGTTTCCGCCATTTTCAAAAATAACGACATCAACTCCTCTCCTGTGTTTTTCGCTTACTATATAATAGGAAAGTATTTGATTTCGGACGCAGCCTTGGTCACATTAGCATAGCATCTTACCAACTTTTAATTAAAAAAAGAAAAGACCCTTTTATATTCTGCTATCATTTTGGTAGAATATGAGTTAAAGGGATAGTTCAATTTGAAATAAATTTTTTATATGTTTTAGCTTACCTCAAGGGCATCCAAGATGTAGGTGTCTTTGTTTCCACAGTATTTTTTCAATTTTGACATTTTTCAGTCAAACCGTTGTTGTATCAGTCATACACTGGAGGCTAAGGGGGTCCACGTCAAAGAGCATGCACAGAGAAGTCAAAATTAAACATGATTTAATGACTCGTAAATGTAAGTAAACATTGATGGCCTAAGACACGAAACGAGCGGTTTGTGTGAGAAAACGAACAGTATTTATATCGTTTTTACCTCGTGTAATCATAGCCATGACAAAATGATCTGACGGCACGGGCGCTTCGATCTGCGCATGCGCCGGAATTGATCACTTGCGCGCCGACGTCACTCTTTGTTTATACAGAGATTTCGGAAGTTTTACCTTTCACTAAACATATTTAGATATACGGGAAACCGCAATGGAAGGCGATTTCGGTATATCTAAATATGTTTAGTAACAGGTAAAACTTCCGAAATCTCTGTGTAAATATCGAGTGACGTCACACGCAAGCGATCACTTCCGGCGTAACATTGAACTGATTCAGTTCGGTTCAGTTGGACATTGCACAACTGATTCAGATCACTTGGACGTCACTGTGATTACACGAGGTAAAAACGATATAAATACTGTTCGTTTTCTCACACAAACCGCTCGTTTCGTGTCTTAGGCCATCAATGTGTACTTACATTTACGAGTCATTAAATCATGTTTAATTTGGACTTCTCTGTGCATGCTTTTTGGTGGACCCCCTTAGCCTCCAGTGTATGACTGATAGACAACAACGGTTTGACTGAAAAATGTCAAAATTGAAAATACTGTGGAAACAAAGACACTAACATCTTGGATGCCCTTGAGGTAAGCTAAAACATACCAAAAATTAATTTCAAAGTGAACAATCCCTTTAATGTCATTTCACATTATCATTTCATATTTATGTACAATGTTGTGGTTTACTGGTAAAGATCTAATTTAGCACCTGAAACACTGTAGGTTTGAGCCAATCCATGAATGATCACATTGTGCCCTTGAGAATAAGACATCTTCGGAAATAATGTGCATCAGTAATGTTAGCTATTCTTTTTAAAGATGATTTCTGTGCCTAAACTTGTTGGTAAAGGATGTAGAAACGTCCTCTCTATCTTCCCTGTCAAAAGCTCTTAGTCAAGGGTGTCTGGTTCTGGTTTGTTTTTTTCCGTGTTTAGACTAACAGAGATTCCAGCATGGTGGCCTTGTGAATGCTCCAGCGTAAGTGTCATCAGCCGAAGACGGGATATCTCAGTCAGACTAAATTAGCTGGGTTGTCTGCGGTCTGACCTGATGATAGCTAAAATGGTGCTTTGCAGGAACTGTATGCAAAACAGATTTTTGCATGATTTTTTAATGTTTTAACTATAGGTCCTAAACTGAACGCCTGACTCGTTTGTCAAGAATTTGCTCTTTGAACACTGTTCGTGATGAACAATAACACATTAAACCTCAGGCTAGTTCTTTACATAAATTTCCACTAAAGAGTTATGATTTAACTCTTGTTTACTTGCCTCCTCCAGGACAACTGTTGCATGTAAATTTCAGCTTGAATGTTTTTGTTTCTCTGTTTTTCTCTCTGTAAAGTTATCTGAATTCACACGCTCACAGAGACCCTCCCTAAAAAAAACATCAGACCTTTGCCGCTGTGGAAAGGCTAACATTTAAAAATGAAACTAAATAGGCTTTCTGTGGCTTATGTGAGATGTGTACCCATAGTCATATGTAAAGCGAGTTTCCTGCGTTCCAGGCTGTAGTGTGTAAGGAAAGATCGGGCAGCTGAGTTTCTCTGTTCTAAATGTAGGCCATTCTTGTACTAAAGCTGGTGTTTTCCTTGCTGGTGCTCTGACCTGAATCAGTTTTTCCTCTCCCCTGTTACAATGCGCTCTTATTTAGAATGATAGCAGAGGACTCTGGTCGAATTATACATAGTGTCGGTCGGATGGAATATGCGGGCTGGATTCGTTTGTAAAGTGGACCTGGAGTTAACACTGAATGTATCGCCTGTAGATGCCGTATGAGAATAGGGGAAAGGAGAGATGACTACAGGAAAACACTGTTTATGTGTGACTGTGTGTCTTGCCAGATCACAAATCAAATAAGTGGCAATATTTCCATCCGGAAATATTTTTTTTTAACTTTTATGTTGGATTTAGTGGTAAATGATAACGCTTTACAATAATGTATCATATGTTAACATTAGTTAATGGATTAACTAACAATGAGCAAGTTACATTAATCTTTGTTAATGTTTGTTAATACAAATCCAGCTGTTCATATTAGTTCACATGTGAAGAAATACAACATTTGACTTTCAATGATGTAGTAGTAAATGTTGAAATTAACATTAGGATTAATAAATGATGTGGGAAGTATTGTTAATTCTTAGTTTAAAGTAAAAAAAAATGTTGGTTTAACTTAAAAAAATTAAGTAACCTGGCTACCTTAATTTTAAGTTCATTGAAATGGAAAAATTGAGTTAATACAATTAAGGAGATTGATTCAATCTCAAAATATTCTGTTATCTGAACTACATAAATTATTTAAGTTGATTTGACAAAAGAAAAAATGTTTTTTTTTTTTTTTTTTTTTTTTACAGTGTGCTAACTAATGAAACCTTAACCTTTTAACCAATTTAGTCTAGTTTATTTGTAAGGGCAATATTTTCCCCCCTGTAATTTTTTTTTTTCATTAACATTTTTTAACAAATGTGATTCATTATTTTTTCTTACCATTTATTTATTTATTTTAGTTTATAATCCCCAATATGTTAATATTTGCCCCCTGAAATATTTTTTCAGATGTGTTTATTATAATTTTTCCCCTAATATTAATGTAAATTTTAGATTTTTTTTTTGTCTTAATATTTAGTAAGTTATTAGTTTATCTGGAATGTATAATACAGAATAATTAAGTTAAATGAAATGGCATGCAACCAGATGCTCTGTATATTGGCTTCTTGATCATTTGCAGCCTCGGTTAAATTTTGAAACAAAACAAACTAATGATGAAAAATAAGACATTTAAATGAGAGTGCATTGTTGAAACCTTCAGTGTGCTTTAGTTTCCAAACCTTCAGTTGAATCAATTAGCATAATTAAATTTCATAATAACATAAATTTTATATGCAACATTGTTTATCTTTATTATTTTTTTTTGCTTAACTTTTCCTTAACTTTTTTTATTGTACTATTGTAACGTGACTTTTTTTTTTGGTAGTTTTGTCTCAAGTTAACTGTATAATAATGTAGTCTGTCTCAACATGCCAATGTGTTTAATGGTGATTTGCTCATTTGTTTTGATAGTTTAATTTGTATTCTGGCAAAAGGAATACTTTGACTGTGAAGTATGTGCCTGTACTTGTTTGTGAACTGTACAGCATTGTATCCTTGAGGCAGTTTGCAGTAACCCTTATCAGTCAAGCTTGAAAGACAGTACAGAGGTCAAGAGGAAACAGACAGTAATGGAGAGAGGACGTGCGATCACATGTCCCTGACCTAGAGCTGCAAACCGCTTGGGCTTAAGCCAGGCTTTTAGCCTCACAGCCGGGTTATGAAATTAACTTTATTTGAGCTTGCATGACTTGACTTCCTGAATGTTGAAAACTAGTTCAAATGAGGTGAGGATCTGAAAGCAGTATGCAAAGCAAATAGGTCTAATTTTACCCATTACTCTCTGTGTATCTCTTTTCTCTTTTTTATTAGTCTTGTTTATCTCACTGCAAAGAAAAAATCTATTTATAAAAAATGATTTTAGACTATTTTTATATTTTCCAACCAATTTTTAGGTATTGTAATGCAAATATGTATTTAATTTCAAGGTATATTGTGTATTATTGTATATATCATTAATATAATACAATTTAAAAAGTCATTAACTCAAACATGATGGTTTCTGTATGATAATGAGAATTATGTTTTTTTGTGGTCGAATGAGAATGGCAATAATATCTAACAGATGTAAATAACCTTCTGATATTATGAGACTGTGGAACAAAGGTTTGTCTCGAATGTTGTAAAATCAAATGAGGATTTTTCAACTTGATGGATTCATAATGCTTTTTTTCTGCACAAATACATTACAAGGTTTTAATTGAATGTAGTTTTCTTGACACAAACCCAGAAAATATTCATTTCAACATTTTCCACCTTGCGTTTTCCTCCAGTTTGCCCGGAGATGTGTGGAGAGCGGGCGTGCACTGATTCGGGCGAGTGCTGCCACCCCCAGTGTCTGGGCAGCTGCACCGTGCCCGACAACGACACGGCCTGTGCCGCCTGCCAGCACTACTACTACGAGGGCAGCTGCGTGGAGGATTGTCCGCAGAACACGTACAAGTTTGAGGGCTGGCGTTGCATCACCTTGGACTTCTGCTCCAAGGTCCACCTGCCTGATTATGACCGTTTCGTGATCCACGGAGGAGAGTGTATGTCTGACTGCCCACCTGGCTTCACGCGGGATGAGAACCGGAGGTACGATGACTTTCTGTGCATTCAACTTTTTGTTTTGAAAGTCTGCATGTGATAAATGGTTATATTTTTTAGTGAAAATTAGTAAATCAAAGCATATCTGTGATTTTGTGAATTTTTGTTTCTGTTTTTTGATCAGATTTCTGTCACATATTGTTTTTGTTTGTTTTATTTTCCAACATCCTTTTGGAGTTTGAGTAACATGAATATCCTGCACTGAAAAAGTTTTTAATATCGTATTTGATCTTTTTTTTTTATTTTCAGTTTATTTGTATTGTATAATCTTGTAAGTGCATAATGCTAAGATTTGGGTCTGTATATACGTATATATATATTATATATATATATTTAATATATATATATATATATATATATATATATATATTAGGGCTGTCAGTTAAATGTGTTATTAACAGTGTTAACGCAAACCCATTTTAACCGCGTCAATTTTTCTTTTGTCCTGGCAAACTTTGTTGGTTTTTTTTAACTAACATAATTTAGCTGACATACTTTGCAACAGGATGTGGTACTGTGCTATGAAACCCATTCATTTCAATGGCTTGTGGCACGCGAGGACGTTTTGTTGCTTCATCGACCAAAGCGCTAGCGGATCTAGCTAGACCGGAAACAAAACTACAGGCATGACGCCGCACACACTTGATTGGGCTTGCGAGCCGGCCAAATAGTTGGTTAACGTTACAAAATGAAAAGGAAGGCTTGCTGCGCTTCTGTAAATTCTCAAACGATCCGGTGCAACCAGGGCAGGACAAAACCAAACAGAAAAGGAGAATCGCCGGTGCAACACATAAATCTTCTTGGTAACAATTTTATTTGAGGTGAATAACAGTGACTTGACTAACGTTTCGATGTAAAACGTTTTACATAGCTCCCAAAAACGGGCTTCAATCGTCTCAATGGAGTTCCAATGAGATCGCTCTGTCCATTTCTTATACTGTCTATGAGTCTGACATGTGTCTTGTCCACGACACGACAAGATTTTAGGAGCCAAAATCGTGTAATCTGACACAGTGACTATCGTAACAGACAAAAAAAATCGTGTAATCTGAACCAGGCATTAGAGGCGTTTCAAATATGGCCGCCGAGTGAAATGACTTTTCACTAACTCATTAATGAACGTTCTGATTAACTCAAAACAAACCAATGTTCTTTTGTTGGAAAGATCGAAAAAAGTTCAGTTGCATTTAAACTTTAGCCTTCCCTGAATTGAAGGTCACGTGATAATGTGCAAGTGAGATATTTGGTAATCGGTATTGGTGACACATTTTGATCGTGCTTTTTTCCCAGCATGTCTGGCAGCATGACCTGCACTGCCTGTAACGGCCCATGTGACAAGATCTGTGATGAAAAGGTCATTGACTCAGTGGATGCGGCTCAGTCGCTCAAGGGCTGCACCGTTATCAAAGGAAACCTGCATATCAAGATCCGCCGTGGCAGTGAGTATCTGCGGCTCAGCAGCTTCTGTTACTGACTTTCCACCGCACTGCTCACCGACACTCGTTTCCATCTCTCTAGCCAACATCGCCTCGGAGTTGGAGAACTTCCTGGGACTCATCAAGACGGTGACGGGATACATTAGGATACGTTCATCACACACCCTGAGCTCGCTCTCCTTCCTCAAGAGCCTGAGATACATCAATGGAGAGGAACTCTGGGATGAGTAAGACGTGAATTTAATACTTTGTCCGAACAGGGTTTGTCTGTCCACACTTATGCCGTGTGTCCACCAAAGCGTTTTTAGCCAGGTGAAAACGCTAGACGTTCTGCTGAAGATGCCGTGCTTTGGGCGCTTGAGCGTTTTGGCAGCGCAGTGTTTTTTTTCCGTTGAGACGTTCTGTTGCTATGATACAGAATATTCGCAGCAGTTGAATGTTGTGACAGTTGGTCGGTGTGGTTTTAGTCCCGCCCCTCCTATACTGTGATTGGACGGCTGGGTAAAAAGTGACAGTGATGAGCCCTGCGTTTTATCCAAAGTTGAACATTTTTCAACTCCCAGCGACCAGTAAAAAAACGCTGAACGCTCGGCGCTTCAGCGTGAAAAAAACGCTCAGCGCCTCGGTACGCTCATGGCGTTTAAAAAACGCTGCACTCCCATTGAAAACAATTGAAAACATATGCCAGGTGCGTGGAAAAACGCTTTGGTGGACACACGGGCTTACAGTGGAACTTGGCCGTTTTTTATAACCACTTTGTATGTCGGTAGTATATGTAAAAGCACAATGTTTACTCATTCTCTGTGTTACCTGGACTGAGAAATTCACTTTTATTAACAGAACAGTTATTGTAAGGGTAGGTTCATCAATGAAAATTGTATCATACTATGCTTACTCTTTAAAGGGGTCATCTGATGCCCATTTTCCAAGTTGGTATTATTCTTTAGGGTCTTCGTGCAACATAATACAACACCTTCTCAAAAACAACTCTGGTCACAGAGACCCATTTCAGTGCATGTCTCTGTAAATGGTAATGAGCAACTGCTTACCCCCTCTCTTCCATGGGGGGTGTCAGCACAAGACGCATAAAGTGCTGCCTTGGCGTACAGTATACAAATGGCTGAGGGTGGAAATTTGCTAATACATGACAGTCCGTCAGTGGTTGTGGGCGGCGCATGAGCAATATGACATCATATAAAAGTGATTTTTTGCATCCAATGACACCTTTATACAGCAGAAATAAAAATGAAAAGCTATGCCAATAGCTTTCTTACCTGTGTGTGACGTCGGTTTGCCTCGAAAGATTGGGCGGAACTGACAGAATGGCAGTTTCTTTGTTTGTTCCCTCTGTTTGGCCTAAAACACTGTGTCCGCGGTCATTCAGTTTGAAATGTTGACTACAAACACGTAAGTTTCTAGTTTCTCTGCTGCCTTTAGTCACTGGAACTGGATCATCCACTGGAAACCAAAAGTAACTCACTCCCATTTAATCTTTTACTCTTTGAATTCTTGCACCTGGGAACAATACAAGTCAACACCATTATGAGTTTGCTAAGAAGTATTTCCTATTAAAGCTAGGCCATATTTGACTCTGGTTAATTGTTCCCATAGGACACTGGTGGGAGTGGCCTTGGTTTTCTCTAGTCGGGTAGCACTGATTTCATTTTTCTTTTAACCTTTTTACTGTATAGGCAGCCATGTTTTATTGAAAGCCCGTTTTTCCAGCAGTAAAGTACCTTTTTAATGCAAATTAATGCTCAAAATGGGGCAAATCACAGCCAATCAGAAGATGTATAGTATTTAAAGGAGAAATCTGGCGCAAAAAATGAACCTTTGGTCTAATTACTAATTGGTACCTAGTCGACCGTTCTCTGAGATTTGTTTTCATGATAATCGAATGTAAAGAATTGTATCTCTAAAAACTGTTAAGTGTATACGCTAGTATATGGGGCCATATACTAAGTAAAGAGAAATCGCTAGTTAATACCACTAACAAGGCTCAAAATAGCCCTACACTAACACTGTAACATAATGAGGGTCCCTACATGCAAAACGAAGCATTGAGAACTTTGTAAGTGTACAGACCGTTTAATAAGAAGATATTTTATAAAGACAGCGCACTTCGTGTATACAGTCAGCAGCCATCTTAGGAAAACAGTCTCGACAAGTCGAACCACGAATGACGTGCCAAGTGAGCTGAACTGTATGAATGGCGTTCGTGGTTCGACTTGTCGAGACTGTTTTCCAAAGATGGCTCCTGCCTGTATACACAAAGTGAACTGTCTTTATAACGTATCTATCTTCTTATTAAACGGTCTGTACACTTACAAAGTTCTCAATGCTTCGTTTTGCATGTAGGGACCCTCATTATGTCAATGTGTTAGTGTGGGGCTATTTTGAGCCTTGTTAGTGACTATTAACTACTATTAACTAATTCAATGCCCCCATATATACGCTAAACAGTTTTTAGAGATAAAACTCTTTACATTCGATTATCATGAAAACAAATCTCAGAGAACGGTCGACTAGGTACCAATGTGTAATTAAACCAAAGGGTCATTTTGCGCCAGAGTTCTCCTTTAATGAATAGTAATGATGGACCAATGAGATTTTATGTTGGGTGGGGCTACTCAGTGTAACACTACATCGTCATTTTAAAAAATAACAAAAACATTTGACATTCAAAAGCAGTAGTTAGGCGTTGTTGGTTTATAAGGGTTCCATACGGAAATGGGTCCCGTGCGTCATAGAAGAAATGTGTAATTTAATTCAATCCCTGTTTGTTTACTGTTTTGATCTGTTTTGAAAATGGGATAACGGTAAACAAACAGGGATGCAGGCTGTATCCACTGCCTTTCGTAACAACTTTTGCACAGAGAGACTGTGCAAAGTTGTTACGAAAGACTAAATTGAGCTCTGGGAACGTTGTCTGAACTCTGTTCGTTTAACATTCCCTTAAACATGCATCATCAAGCAAACGTCAGAACAGTACTATACCTGTTTGCAAAATGCAGCAAATGGACCATTTGTATTATATTGACTTGACTAATAAATATAAGCATGTCAGTGTGCCACTTGCAAAAGTGGCAAAACATGCGTCAGACTAAAGCTTTCAAGTGTGCTGTAGGGTCAAGGGAAACGTTCGCTTCTAATGCACATGAAGTGCTTACATTCCAAACGCAGCTTTTACTGAAGCTGTTTATCTTTTATGATAATTTGCGTCAATTCTGGTGAATCATCAGCTTATATGTGCTGTAAAGTAATGGCCACAAGATCCTGCTGCAACATACACACACAGTCTGGGTGTTTATAGGAGTGACATTCATCGGATTTCACTCCTCAATGTTTGCATTTTTCTTTAAATATACATTGTGTGTATAACCAGCCTAGTTGTTAATGAAAAGAGGGAGGTATGTGTATTGACTAATAATTCACAAGTTTTGACAACATTTTGTCTCTTGCCACTGTAGTTTTATACACCAACCTTGTGGTTTATAAGTAAACTATGTTTCAGTCCAGAAAAAACGCACTGTTTCAAAGGACAGTGTTTCCACAATCATGGAAAAGCTGAAAAAAAACAAAAAAAAAAACAGGGAAAATGGAAAGTGTGATTTCTAGCCATACTGGAAAAGCCATGAAATAATCTAAAAAGATTTTTTACTATTCTTTTTAGGGCTGTCAAACAATTAATAGTGATTAATCGCATCCAAAATAAAAGTTTGTGTTTACATAATATATGTTGGTGCACTGTGTATAATTATTTTGTATTTATAAATACACACACATGCTTGCATATATTTAAGAAATATTTTCATGTATATAATTTATGTTATATAAATATAAATATTTTTTTCTTAAATATACATGCATGTGTGTGTATTTATAAATACAAAATAATTATACACAGTGCACCAACATATATTATGTAAACACAAACTTTTATTTCGGATGCGATTATTGCGATTAAGCATATTTTATTGTTTTATCGGTTTTGCCACTTATTCATTGTTATTGTTATGTTGTCTTCAGCGCGTATGCCTTTGCTGCTTTGGATAACCCACATCTCCAAATGCTGTGGGACTGGTCCCAGCACAATCTCACAATAAATGCTGGAAAGCTGTACTTCCGCCAGAACCCCAAACTCTGCATGTCCGAGATCCGCAAAATGTGGGCGAAAACAGGAATCAAGGAGAAGTTTTTGGAAGGAGATTTCCGCAACAATGGAGACCGTGCAAGCTGTAAATATGAATTGTTCTCAATTGATAGAATTTAAAATGCATTTAAACTCTGTATGCATATTACATTTTCACTGAGTAAATTGTTTTGTTGTTTTTTTCCTCAGGTGGGAGTAAAATTCTCAAGTTCTTATCGAATAGCACGAGGAGTAATAGAATCGAGTTGACATGGGAACTTTTTCGACCAGCAGATTCCAGAGACCTCATCAGTTTTATTGTATACTACAAAGAAACGTAAGTCTTGTGGACATTTTATTCAGATGTTTTAAGCAGCCTTTCTCAATACCATTAAAATGTTTAAGCAGCTTTGTAAATATCCGTTATGTTCTCTCTTAGGCCTTTCCAGAACATTACAGAGTTTGATGGTCAGGACGGTTGCGGATCAGACAGCTGGAACATGGTTGACGTGGACTTACCACAGGACCGAACCCAAAATCCTGGTGTTACCCTGTCCATGCTGAAGCCTTGGACTCAGTATGCCATCTTTGTTAAAGCTGTAACGCTAGTTGTGGAGGACAGGGACAAGGACAGGCAGCATCTTGGGGCGAAGACTGAAGTGGTGTATATTTGGACTAAACCATCAGGTAATGATCTAGATTCAGGTCAATCATAAATTTAAAGGGTAATTCCACCGGTGGATACATGAATATGTATTGAAAGTGGGTCATAAATGTTGTAGTAAAGTATCATAAATTTCTAATTTGGGTCCTTCTTGGCCGATAAAAGGACTTTTTAGTGCTTGTGGATTGTGGACAACAATCCCCATAGTGCATTGCAATGCTCAGCTCTGCAGGCCACTCCCACTACTCTGCCCATCAATGTACACTAGAGTTGAGCTCCATTCTACACTACCGCCTAGAAATCATTTCGCACAATGAAATCAGATAATGCGCACTAATATAATATGACGACGTAAGAGCGTCAAGGCGGCGCCCGCGCCATCAGCCATTGGATTGGCGGGATTATATATGGGCTTCAGACAATTGGCATCGACAAATTAAAGCTTTTAAATTGTAAAAAAAATCTATTTCATATAAATTCTGTTCTTTTGAACTTTCTATTCATCAAAGAATCCTGAAAAAAAATTGTACATAACTTTTTTCAGCATTTGATGATAATAATAAACATATTACAATGATGTCTGAAGGATCATGTGACACTGAAGACTGAAGTAATGATGCTGAAAATTCAAATATTTTTAAATACATTTATGAAATCGCCCAAAGTTTTGAATGATACCATGCAGTTTTGCTTTTTAAGTAAATTTATCTTGTTTTAAAGAACATTTCAATACTTAAGATGCTGATTAGGAATTTTTTTTTTAGCAGTGTCAACTTATTCCATGCAGGGTGTTGCAGCTTAGTGGTTTAAAATCTAGTGCCGTAACTCAATGGTTGTGTGCTCAACCCCCAGAAGGGATGATTCTTGGCTTTCCATGGGTCGCACCAAGGGGATTTATTCTGAAGTCAACGTTTGTTTGCTAAATAAATGTTTTGTTGTTTTTCTCCAGCACCCTCAATGCCTGTAGACATTCGTGCGTACTCTAACTCTTCATCAAAGCTGGTGGTGCGGTGGTCTCCACCTGTGACCCCTAATGGAAACAACACCTACTACCTGCTCCGCTGGAAGCAGCAGGGCGAGGACCATGAGCTCTACCAGCACAACTACTGCTCCAAAGGTCTGGTCTGAATTACACACTCAAACTGAGCACCATTTTCCCCAACAGCAATTCAAACTTTTAACCATGAAACAGATAAACATATTATTGAGAACATCTGAAGCATCTAGAGTAACTAGATCAAATTCTATTTGAAAACTCTCCAAAATGTATAAAGCTTTGTCATAATAAAATAACGTGCAGCATATTCAAACCATTGAACGCTGTCTGTATATTGTTAGTGCTGCTCTTTAAGCCTACTATTACTCATGCTTTAATTTAATTTGTTTTCTTTCTTGCTTTTCGGTGGGGCTTTCAGAATGTACATTTTGAGCATATTGAAATGATACCAGATCACTGCAGAAAAAATGTAACCATGTTTATGTTTTTCCGGACAGAACTGAAGATCCCCGTCAGGATTTCAGCCACGGGTTTGACAGAAACCGAAGACACCAAACCCACCAATCCTGAAACAGGGGGGAGGGACAAAGCCCCCTGTTGTCCCTGCCCTAAAACAGAGAAGGATCTGAAGCAAATCGAGGATGATATCTACTACCGCAAAGCCTTTGAGAATTTCCTTCATAATGCCATATTCACGCCCAGGTAAACCCAGGAGTTTGATCACATGATTGTTACTTTCTCCTGAAATAGTACTATAGTTATTTATTTCAATAAGTTGATTTCAAAATATTTCATTATAATTCATTTTCTAATACTTGTTAGCAGCGATGGGAATAACGGCGTTATAAATAAACGGCATTACTAACAGCTTTGTCTTTCTCAGTAATGAGTAATCAAACTAATTACTGTTTCCCCCGGTACAACACCAAAGCGGTTTCCATCCGAGTAGGCTCTCTCTCTCTGCCATAGGAACTGCAACGTTTTTTTCTCTGGTGTTTGTGTGTGTGTTTATGAGGTGCCGGACTCGATGCGCCTGAAGCGAACTCGAAGCGAAGCGACTGCGCTATATATTGTTTATAAATAAATTACAAATTTCAGCATTAGAACAATCTCTGTAGCCTATTGGTATCATCTGCAACGTTTTAATTAATTTGCATTATAAAACATTGTACACTAATCTACACTATCATAATGTTGCTGTTGGACAATATGAGAGACACCTATAAAATTCAATGTATTATTTTGAATATTATCATTACTATAGTAGAACAATAAAACATAATTTTAGAATATTTAATATTGCACAGACCACAACTGGCCAACAAATAAGTCTAAAAATAAAGTATGCTTAAATGTACCAAAAATGAAAATATACATACAATAAAATTAATATTAAAATGATAAACAGTTTAACAAGATTTTATTTGTATAACCATGTAATTTATTCTATAGTGTACATTTCATTCATTTAACATTAATATTGGGTGCAAGTTAGGCATATTTTAACATTTTTTTTTTTTACGCAATTAAGTAAAGTAACGCAATTACTTTCACTGGTAATAAGTTACTTTTATAATGATTTAAGTAATTACTTAAGTAACATGCCCAACACTGCTTGTCAGTAATTTTCATTTTAATTTTCTACTGAATATCAGCCAGAATTTTCATTTTACAATCATAATTGCCGTACCGGTCAAACACTATTGTAAATGTCACTTTTTATCAATTTAATGTGTCCTTGGCTTGCTGAATTAAAGTATTCTTACTTAAAAATTCGTACCGACCATAAAATACTAGTTTTATGGTACTTTTATTTAGCTAAAAACTGTATTTAACAGAAAAGGATTAAAAAGACTCTCCTTTTGTATTTTTCATGCTTCTTAATTGGAATGACATGCGCATTAACTAATACTTAAATTGGCAAGAACTTCAGAGTTGAAGCCTCGAAAAACACGTGACTTCATCCTCGTTCAAGTTTTGATGCGTCAGCCGGTACAAAACATCCATTTAACTTCAAATTAAAACCTTTAATAGTAAATAAATCCATGTTAACCTTTTGTGATCTCAAAGATGAAGATTGAAAGGGACTGTTGATGTCTCTGGATTTGTAATGGCTCTTTGTTTCTCGTCTGAGAGGTTGTTTTGGAACGTTTTCAGCGTTCCCTTAGTAATTGTTTCCCTCCGGCGCTGGTGTTGGTAATTGTGTGGTACGGGCTCTTGAGTCTGGATCCAAATAACACGGGAGACCATGCAAAGCTAATGTAAATGACCATGTAAGCCTCGTTTTCTCTCTGATCTCAAAGGTGTAACGCATTAAGCGTTCTGTGCTAAAATGAGGACCGACATCTGTATCCTATTATCATCCATCATCGGGCTGGGCGGCGCATGTGTCCTGCCGAGCGTGCCAAAATCGCTGTATACCTGAGCTGACTTGTATTGAAATCAATGCATTTTTGAATTCAAGTTTTAGGCCGTGCAGGCCAGGACATCAAAATGGCATTGATTCTCCATCCCGGCCTGCGTGATTCAGGGCTGGATTATCCTGCTCGGTCTGATCCGGGTTTTTTTTTTTTTTCTTTGTGTTTGTCATTGCTTGGCTGTCGACGTAAGCAACGGTGCCAGAACTATGTCAGGCAGCTGAGAAGTATGTCTGTACCCGGGCCAGCACAACCTGTTTTTATTGAAAACCGAGATATTGAGGGAAGTGCCTCGAGTTCCCTCGAAGTTCAGGATTTGGAGAGAGCCAGAGGAAGGGGGAACGAGAGAGAGAGGAAATCATATCCATTCAGTTTGCCATTCCCCCCTCAAACCGCTCTGCTGCCAGGAAATGCACAGTAATTCCATCTGGAATACCAATGAAATAAAGGGAAGTTCCCCTCCAGCCGGAGAGCACACAGATCAATGAATGCCGCTCCGCACGGAGGGAGCTACAGAAAGAAGATTGAGAGAGAATGAAAAAGCTGTTTCAGGGGCATGTGGGAACAGAAGGGACCGAGATTACGAGGGAAATCGCTGGTTTAGAGATGGGGAATGTTCAGAAACTAACATACTACTACTCTTACTATTTTTAGTGGTGCTTACTAAAAAGTTGTGTGGTCATATTAAGGTTTAGGGGTTTTATTTGACACCTCAAACCATGTGGATTTTTAAATTGTTTGGAATTGCTTTATTTATTTATTTATTGCTTGAGACAATAAAAAATAAGTGGCTTTTGCATAATATCCATTCCATCATTAAAGTAACTACCGTTTACATGTTGTTGGATTTTTGGAAAGAAATGAATAATTTGTCCATCAAGGATTCATTAAATTGATCAGTAGTGACAGTAGCCAAGTTTCCATCCACTTGTCAATCGAATCATCTGAAGTTCGGTAAAAAAAAAACCCTCATGCGAATAAAGCTGGAGAAAGTGTGTTTCCAATCCATCCAACGGCTTTAAAGCAAATAAAAACCTGTGCGTAATGACGTCACATGATGTTTTGCGATCAAATTGGTATATCGAATTGATTTGAGACATGTTAAGGTGTTTCTATTCATTTTCTCACCAAATTGCACAACATTCAAGTGAACAAAGTTTTGCTAGGCAAAATGGATCGCGCCATAAAAACGTTTCCGATGAGACCGAACGCGATATTCATGAAATTCAGTCGAATTTTCCTGTTTCCATGTGGCATTTTTCATTCGATATCACTTAATTCGGATAAAAACGTGTGGATGGAAACATAGCTAGTATTTAAAAAAAAAATAAAAAAAAATTCTGTTTACTAATAAATGCTTATCTTTTTTACTTTCTTGAGCAAATCAGCATCGTAGAATGATTTCTGAAGGATCATGTGATACTGAAGACTGGAGTAATGATGCTGAAACTAAATTACATTTTAAAATATATTCTAAAAGAAAAAAGTTATTTTAAATTCTCAATATTGCTGTGTATTTGATCAGATAAATACAGCTTTAAAAAAGTAGTTGTAGCGACATCAAAATATTTGAATGGTATATATCAATTAAATGTGGTGTTAATTAATGGTGGGAGTTACGTCATGTGACAAGGTTTTTTTTTTTTCAATGGAACATTTGCTGTATTTTAAATGTGAAGACTACAGTGTTTTTACTGACTATTTTTATACACATGATCACATCCTGCGACTAATAACTGTTTGAGCGGCAAATTTCAGCATGGACTGATAATGAACATGTACTGTAAACTATAATGCATGCTTTACTCTTTTGAAAGAGAATGTTGACTTTGCAAAAACTAATTTATTGCTTATTTCGATGCAGAAAGCTTGACTGACCTTATACAGTGAGTGAACCTCAGGGAAGAATACAGTTCAAAATACTATGTAGTGTATGCAGCTAATATGTACAGTACTGTTAATTTTTTTTAAAGAAGTCTCTTTTGCTCACCAACCAAGGCTGAATTTATTTGTTCAAAAATACAGAAAAGGCTGTAATATTGTGAAAACTTTCCAATTTATACTAACAGATTTTTATTTGAATATTTTTTAAAACATAATTCATTCTTGTGACGGCAAAGCTGAATTTTCAGTGTCATTACTTCAGTGTCACATGATCCTTCAGAAATCATTCTAATACGCTGATTTGATGATTTCTTATTATCGATGTTGAAAACAGTTGTGCTGCTTAATATTTCTGTGAAAACCATGATGCATTTTTTAGGATTCGTTGATGAACAGAAATTTGACAGCGTTTATTTAAAAATAAATTTTTTCATTATGAATTTATTTACCGTCACTAAAAAAAACCAACACACTGACAGATTGCATTATGCAATATACGATAGTCCAGCGATTAGACAAGACGGGGCTTGGGCCAGAACACCCAGTGTGCATCAGATACAGACAGAGATGTATAGCTTCATATCACGTCTCTCTGGCCACATGCTCTGTCAAACTCAACCCATCTGTGGTGCTAGGATGTGTGTTTCTAGCAGGCAGAGGGAAGACTTGCAACTTGTAGAGAGTTAAGTGAGAAACTGCTCCAGTGTGTGAGCATTAGCAGGCCGAGGAATGGAGACCAGCTGTGGTGTGTGTGTGTGAAAGGATTCAGGGGGGATGGAGTCGTTGCCAGATCATCTGAGGACAGAAAACGTGATTGCTTTGGCATGGACGAGAGTAACTTGCGCATGTGGTTGTTACCCCACACGTTCACAAACGGGGTTAAAAATGGTCTCCTCGGTAATCAGTATTGAGGAAAACGCTTCTCTTGAAGTGTCAATTAGTATATATATTTAATAAATATAATTAATAAATTAATTAATATTAATTTCAATTAATAAATTGTCAATTAATAAATATAATTTATTTGTATTATGTGTTTGTGTATTTTCTTTTAATGTACATACTTTTTTAGGACCCCAGGAAGAATAGCTGCAGCATTGCTGTAGCTAATGGGGATCCTTTCAATAAAACAAAACAAATTAGCACAGAAAATTTCAACTTAATCTACTAATAAACTAATTCAGTCATTGTTTTATTTTGGGTTCAATAACAGCTTTTTCTAATTTAGTTATAATCATTTTTGTTTTACCATAAAAGGCTTTTATAATGTAAGGAGAGATTGTGAAAAATAATTAAAACCACTTTTAAAATAAATTTATATTAAAGTCGTAAATATGTCAGTTTCTGCACCACCAGATGTTGCGCTTGAAGGTTTACTATGTTTCCTCCAATATATCTCATCTTTCTCGTTCCAGACCTCCCGACAGGCGAAAGCGAGATCTGTTTGGCGTGGCCAATGCAACTTCCCTCCACTCTCTTCTGTCGGGAAACTGGAACCTGACTGAAGGAAACTTCTCAGATGATGAGCCGCCTAGACGGGCATTTTCTTTTCTGGAGAGGAAGGTGAAGGAGCGAACTGCTGACATCAGTGGGCTGCAGCCCTTTACCGTTTACCGCATCGACGTGCACGCCTGCAACGAAGAGGTTCGACACTGCAGCGCGGCCGCCTTTGTCTTTTCCCGCACCAAACCGGCAGGTAAGATCAGAACATGTACATGGAATTGGTGGTGAAGCCACCAATACTGAAAACTAGACTAAAGACGCATTTATTTAGCCTGGCATTCTTATACATTTTTTATCTTACATTTACTGTAAATTTGGCCTCGAGTTCATAAACGCCAGAGGAGAACTGGCCCCCGACTGAGCCTGGGTTCTCCCAAGGTTTTTTTTTTCTCCATTGGGTCATCTGATGGAGTTTTAGGACACCGTTGGGTCACTTGATGGAGTTTTTTGGTTCCTTGCCACTGTTGCCTTTGGCTTGTTCAGTTGGGGATATTCAAATTAAATGACCCATCATACAGTACCATTGATCAGCTCTACCAATCTTGATTGTCTTTTTTCATGAATAAACAAACACTGTGATGTTGTCTTGATTGATACTGTGAAGCAGCTTTGATACAATCTGTATTGTGAAAAGTGCTATATAAATAAATTTGACTTGACTTATTGGTATTGGTATGTTCAAAAATATCAGTGACAAACCTTTTGGTTCCTTCGTTTTCTTGTAGAAAGAGCCGATGACATTCCTGGCTCAGTGACCTGGGAAGCTCTGGAGGATTCGGTGTTCCTGAAGTGGCCTGAACCGCATAAACCCAACGGCCTGATCCTGCTGTATGAGATTCAGTATCGTCTTGGGACAGAGGTGCCTGTTGCATTTTCACCACCAAATCAGTGTCATGTGTTTAAGCAAGGTGTTGTTAAATCTCCAACAAAATTGATTTATTGACTTAAAAATGCTGTAACATTTAAGACTTTTTAAAAAATGTCAATAATATTATGAAACAAACTGTAGTACTTAAATGACTTCAATAAAAATCTGCTTTAAGTAGTTTGGCACATTATTAATATAAATATTTTTTAAAAAAGCATTTTTTTATTTAGCCTTATAATCAGTCACATTGATTTTACCACATTGTTGATATTGCTGATTTAATGCCCCACAACACCTATATATATATATATATATATATATATATATATAGTTGTAAAAAAAATTATAGACTTGAAAAAATCAAACAAATGTAATTGAAATAGCTCAGTACAACAAATCTTTCAAGTGGTTTCCCCAAGTTCAACTGAAAATGCAACTTTTAAATACTTCTGCATATACAGTATATGTATATAGTTTAACAATATGCTGTCAATTGATTACAAAAAATTAACTAATTAATCTGACATATTTCTGTCATTAATCACAATTAGTCGCACCTAACTATAATATTTATCATACATTTTTTCCACATTCAATCTTAGTTTAATTGTGTCTTTTTAAGTAGTAGGAATGAAGACCAGAATCAACAATAATGCTACTGATTTCTTTATTTGAGTGGCTTTTTTCTTAATTTCTGTCTTATGAAATGAGTATCAAAATTAGTATGTGAGGATAGATCAACATCAGTATTGCAAATATATTAGACAATCACGATACTGATTTAAAATGTGCACATCATGCCTCCCTAAGAGAAGCACACATAGCACAATTATTATAGTTACTGAGTAATATGTTTTTTTAACAGTTTTATTTAAAATAATATATTTATAATATGTAACCTTAAATAAATGAATAAACCTGCATACAAAAAAATAGCACCCCAGCTAGGGTTTTCCATCCTGCATTTTTGCAAAAATTGTTAACTAATTTATCAACTATTGATTTGTGTGTTAATCTTTTTTTACTCCTTACAGCCTGAGAAGCATGAGTGTGTATCCCGTCAACACTACAGGGAGCACAAAGGGGTAAAACTCTCCAATTTGGGAGCTGGGAACTATTCTGCCCGTGTGCGGGCAACGTCTCTCGCCGGAAACGGGTCCTGGACTCAACCCATAGCTTTCTATGTGATTCAGGTTGAACGTAGGTTTACCATCATTTTCATCACTTTCAATTCCAAAAGTTTGAGAATTAAAACAAAAATGTGGACACGTTATTGAGTTCTGACTTTTTTTTTTTTCCCTTGCACACTCAAGAAACACATTATGAACACTTCCTGTACTTCATGATTATCCCGGTCATCCTGATTTTCGCCGCCTTCGCTGCAGTGGCTTTCATCTTGGTGAACAAGAAACGGTATCAGTTTTAACACATCTATACTCTACAAATAATTGTCAAATGACAACATAGGCCCCTCTGGATGAGAAGTCCAGATTCAGAGATGTTTGCTAAATAAGTGCTTTTGGAATCCACAGAAACAATGACAGGCTTGGAAATGGAGTCCTTTACGCATCGGTTAACCCAGAGTATTTCAGCGCAGCAGAGAGTGAGTATTCAATCAAGGGCAGGATCAACTCCACGTAAATAGTTTTTGTAAATATGCAGCATAATTGTATGCGACTAACTTTCTATATTATGCTTGCAGTGTATGTGCCGGATGAATGGGAAGTGGAGCGAGAGAAAATCACCATGTGCCGAGAGCTTGGGCAAGGATCTTTTGGTATGGTGTATGAGGGCATCGCGAAAGGTGTTGTCAAAGATGAGCCGGAAATCAGGGTGGCCATCAAAACCGTCAACGAATCGGCTAGCTTGCATGAGCGCATTGAGTTCCTTAATGAAGCCTCAGTGATGAAGGAGTTCAATTGTCACCATGTGGTTAGTCATGACAAACCTCATCTTATACTCGCAGTATTGGTGTATAGTAGCCTGTTCAATAATGTTGACTTGGCACCCTGTGATGTCTTTTGCGATTGGTTTAGGTGCGTCTACTGGGTGTGGTCTCGCAGGGTCAGCCCACTTTGGTGATCATGGAGTTGATGACACGAGGGGATCTGAAGAGTTACCTACGCTCACTTCGATCCGCTGAGGTGAATACAGGCACACACGAGACATCTTCACATCGTCGACCAAATATTTGGCCAATCAGATTGATTTTTTTTTTCCGAACCGTTCTGAATTCCAGCAAGTTAAACACTGCCATATGGAATTGTGGTGGAATTATGATGCGTAATTGAGCGATTTCCATTAATCAGAATTAATTGTCCATTCACAACTGTCTTTCCCTAAATGGACTGCTCACTGAGGTGCGCTCCTGGTATGTCTATAAGCCCCTCCAATTCATTTGCTTGATCTCTGTTCCCAAACCTAGTGAGCTTAGTTTACCTTCTAAGGCTGCAACCTTGAGTGTGACAGATTTGAAATGTTTTTCTCGGGCAGCAATTCTGCATACACCGATTCATCGGCCAAAGATCGCCCAAGAGGACATCTGACCGACATATAAAGCAACCAATCACAGTTTGTTTGGTTCTGCATCATGCTTACGGCCATGAAACTGTAATGTCAATGTTCCTGCGATAGCTCTTTCAAGAACATTGTGCAAGTTCACTGCAAACTTCACATATTTTTGAAAATCCAGCGTTTAGTTTATCCTGAAAAGTGCTCATTGTCAGAGTTGTAAACACGACTGCATTCTTCTTCCATGAGGGGGTTTGGCTTCACCGCATCTTTGTTTCAAGACGGAACGCCGGAAATCCTGTAGAATCTAGCCAATCAGATGACGACTCTGTGTTTCCTGTTTTGTGTTGGTTATGCATTATACGTTAAGCCCACAGTCTGAGGCTGAGATTAATTTGCATGATCCAACGCTTCAGCATGAAATGGATAAGACTCGCTGGGTTTTGAAACATAACTTCAGTGTCATTCTCCTCTTCCTCGTCAGAACACCTCCAGTTTGCCTTTGCCGCCATTGAAGAAGATGATTCAGATGGCAGGAGAGATAGCGGATGGCATGGCGTACCTCAACGCCAACAAGTTTGTTCACAGAGACTTGGCAGCAAGGAATTGCATGGTGGCTGAGGATTTTGCTGTCAAAATTGGTGGTATGTGATGAAATGAGAAAAAATGTATTTGCTTTTCTCAACTATGTGAAATATTAATTACTTTTTTTTTTCATTTAGCTTTATTATGTTTTTTGTAGCAAAATTAATTTTGAGATGCAGCTTCTCTGAGAGGGTTTTAACCCTCAGGTGCTCTTCGTTTCAGGGTCACACTTGTTATCCTACCGGTCAAAAGTGACCGGACACCTAAAAATTACATTTCCTCAATCCCAGTAAAACCAATGCAATTTATTTTTGTTCTATAATATTTATTGTTTGTAATTTAGTATTTTGAGACAATTTGATTGAATTTATTCATATTTATGGTCTATTTTTGCCATGGAAAAAAAATATATTTTTCTAAATATATATTATTTTTGTCAAAAAATTATTAATGCAGTATTTTAGTTTAATATAGAGTCTAGGCTATCAGAAAAAAAAAATTTGAAGAAAATTAGCACCATCTGGTTACAGTATAGAGAAAAAGCATCATGGTGTAACCACTAGATGGCACGTACAGGAAGCATGTGAATTCCCCAGATGTTTATGAACACTTTTTTTTTTTTTGATGGATTTGAATAAATATATAGTTGAAACAATCTCGATTTTTTTATTTAAAAAAAAAAGTTTAAAAAAAAAGTGAATTTGTGTTTTTGTCAATTTCCCATTCATTTCCTATGGGGGTCATTTTTGACCAAAGACCACAAGTGTTACTATTTTTTTTAAGACCACTTAGCATGCTCAGTTCATGACCTCAATTTTTTTTTTCAGATCTAAATTAAAAAAATGAACGGCAAACATTTCAATAGATTTATCCATCTTTCATACATTAAGTTAAGTTATACATTAACGCCAGTTTTTTTTGTATCGGCAATGAATAAATAATGAGTTGCTGAAAATGCTGTAAATGTTCTTCATTTAGTTTGGCTAAATCTCAAGGAAAACTATAGAACCTTAGTAATTTCACTTTATTTATCCTCAATCTGTAGACTTTGGCATGACGCGGGACATTTATGAGACGGATTACTACAGAAAAGGAGGCAAGGGACTACTGCCTGTGCGCTGGATGTCCCCCGAGTCCCTCAAAGATGGAGTATTTACCACAATGTCTGATGTCTGGTAAGCGTTCGTGTATTCTACAGAGAATCAGTGTGTGCATGCATGTTTATATGATGTTAAAAACACACCGAGAAATCATCTGAGACGTATAGTGCAGGGTGCGTCGGTCTAGTCACCGTAGCTGTGGAGCGACATCTGTGTCCATTACAGTTCCTCCGCTAGCTAAACGACAAATGAAAACCACACTCGCGCAGCTCAACACACATTTTCCATTACATAGTGCGTACGTTAATGCGGTAGGCAATGAGGAGAAACATCTTTCCATATATTTCAAATGAAGCTGGCAATCAAGCCTCATCAGCCCTCATATGAGCTAGAAACATTTTCCTCATATGCTAGTCTCATTTGACTAGCTTTCAAAGAAAACCTCGGGGAGTCTAGACCACGCTTTTCCGGAAACGCCAACAGCTGCGGCTGATATGTGTGGCATTCCAGAGCCTCGAGGAATCTTTAGTCGATTCGTCCTCCCATGTCATAATAAGTAGCTCTTTGGACTCGCTGGGAGGTTCACACTTAAATCTTTTGTTAAGGATCAGAATCAAGCACTCCCCGTTCAGGAAGAGGTTTGAACTTAATTACAATGTTCTCGAGTTTCCTTCCAGGTGTTTGGAGAGTCTGCCCTAACAGTTCACCTTTCATGTGAGTCCAGGGTCACCGCCAGGCCTTGATGATAATGTATTTCTGTCTGGTAAACTTTACACAAGGATCAGACATGGGAGTGGAGTAGTGTTTCGCCAGTAATCACAAATTTACCATTTGAAAAAATTTCTGCGTCAGTGGTTAAGATCCGAATTAGAATATAATAGCTGTATCAGTATCACTGCGCAATGGACGTTTTTCACGGACGACGCGCTTCCTCACTTATCAACAAGTTTTTGGTAACACTTTAACACAAGGTTTCATTTATTCATTACTTTAGTTAACATTAAGAACGAACAATAATTCTACAGCACTAATTAATCTAAATTAATGTTAATTTCAACATTTACTAATACATTATTCTAATTAATGTTTTTACTGGTTAATGCACTGTTACTAAAATGAACAAACAATGAACGACTGTATTTTATTAACTAACATTAAATTGTTAGTTCACCCAAAAATTTTAATTATGTCATTAAAGCCACACTGTTGAACTCTTCAACCTTTATAATATATTACCAAAACCCATTGACATCGACTTACAATAGGTTGAATGACACGTCTGCCGTAGCCTGAAGGTGTCTGTATCGCTTTTACTAGCACTTTGTAACTTCGGGTAACCCGAGCACAAAAAGAACTACAAAATTCGACCGCTTTACGGCATACGTCACTTCCCTCACCACCCCAAACTTCCTCAGATTCTGACGTTAGTGCTCAACTCGCGTTTGATTGCCGTCTGTATGTTTTCGTCATGGCCGAACAACAGCTAAAAGGAAGAAGGCAACCGTTTTATCAGAGGAAACTACAAAAAGAAAATGGGAGAGTGACAAATTACCGTAAAAGCCAGGACGAGGATTAACATCCAGCTTTCGCTTTGCTCACTGGCGTGAGCGGAAGGGTGCTGAACCGATGCGGACAAATTGCCTGCACACAAATGCAGTTTCCAAGGTAACCCAGATAAGTTTCGAAAACTCGCTTAGCGCCGCACATTCGCGTACTGTCTGAAAGCACCGGATCTAGCTAGACCGGAAACTGCAAGCCGGCCAAATAGTAGGTTAATGTTACGTATTGAGTGAATGAGGAACGCAAAACTCCGAAATGGAGGCCAATAAGATTCTGAATTAAAAAAGTTTACTTTTAAAAAGTTTCCAAATTTTCAATGAAAAACATTTGCACAAAGCAAGCCGATCCACTTTTTCATGCTGATAAGAGCATTGAAATTAGAAAAAATAATGGGACAAAAAGAAATCAAGAGACGTTTAGAATAGATTAAAATGTGCGATTAATCGCAAGTTAACTATTACGTTAATTCGATTAATCGTGATTAAATGTTTTAATCGTTTGACATCACTAGTTTATACCATCAAAATGATCTTCATTTGTGTTCCCGAAGATGAACGAAAGTCTTACGGGTTTGGAACGACATGAAAGTGAGTGAATAATGACAGAATTTTCAACTTTTGGGTGAACTAACTCTAGGGGTGTAACAATATGTCATGCCACAATATATCACAATACAAAAATGCAACAATACGTATCGTGGAAAGTGGCCATATGTATCGTGGATGGTCCCCCCAAAATAAAAATGATTGTATGAGAAAAAAATTCAAGATTTCTGAGTTTTAGTGTCAGTACTACATTAAACTACAATATATAATGTTGATTATAATGTATAATAATGCAATGTGGGAATATTTGTGGGTCCTGATAACGCCAAATGTCTGATGTTTCCAGTAACATTATTTTAAATATATCTAGTCAATGAAAGCGTGCAAGCATATTCATCTACAATAACTAGTCATTTCAGCTTCAGAATCATGAATATTGTTATTCTGGTGTCACCACTGTCCTTTTACCATATGTCTTGGAGTATCGCAATAATATCGTATCGCGAGTTAAATATCGTGATATGTATCGAACCGTGAAAGGAGGGTATCGTTACACCCCTAACTAACTCTAATTTAAACATTGACCGATTGTGGGAATTTATGTAAACTGAAATCCCTAGTCACTATCAGTGTAGATCTGTTCTAACTGTTCTCGTCGGTTGTCTTCTTGCAGGTCCTTTGGGGTGGTGTTGTGGGAAATAGCCACCCTGGCCGAGCAGCCCTATCAGGGCATGTCCAATGAGCAGGTACTGCGGTTTGTCATGGAGGGAGGACTACTAGACAAACCAGACAACTGTCCTGATATGCTGTAAGTCACTTCATTCAATTCATCATCTTTCACTCGCTTTATGAGTTTATTTGACTTAAATGGAACACACTATTTTAAAAAGCTAGTTAGGTTTCATTGATGTCAAACCTGGTGCAACATCTTAATGTGGCACTTTTGAAATTGCTTAGTGTGAATTTTCATATAGATTTGGAAGCACCTGATAGATGATGATGATGAATTTTCATTTTTGGGTAAACATTCCTTTTAAAAAGTAGAAAGTCTGCCACCTACTGTATGATTCAGGTGGTAATGTCACAAGAATTGACATAAAAACCTAGATTAGCTTGAGAATCAATGGTATTTAACAAAGAGTTTTTGACTTCGGCTATTATTTGTTTTGGATTTTAAAACTGCCAAGTCGAATGCTCTTCCCGTTGGTGCTGTGGGCTAAATTTAAGTATAATTTGTTTATCTATGAGAGCCTCCAAGCTCTGGGCTTTCTTTGGCGTGGTTTGAGTGAGGTTGCGTCTGGCTTCAAGTCCGTGAATTATCTAAAGTGTGAGAGCTGGCAGTGAAACACGAGCACTCAAAGCAATACACTCGGATGCCACATTTTTAATAATAGAACATTATATCAGGAAAGTTGGTAGATAGATGTGTGTTTTGGGAAGAAAGTGGTACAAACAATGGAAAGCTAGTTTTGGATATCAGAGACAGCTTACGTTCCCATTTGGCCATTTAACACCAATATATATATTTTTTGTCAGCCACAGCTTGTGTTTTTAATTTGATAAATTACCAAATTAATCTGTTAAATTAGGGTCATATAGCTAAAATAAAATATTTTTTTCAGTTTTGTAGTATATATTTAAATGTAAATGTTATATCTATATATCCATTTCTAAGTATTTATCCATTTTAAAAAGACTTTTTACTATTCTTAGTGTTAATATAATATATTAGTATTAGTATTCTTAATATTTTTAGAAAAGCATTTTAATATTCTTCAGATTTTATATATATAATAAATATGAAAAAAATATATATGAATAAAATAAATATATATATATATATAATATTTATGGGAATAATATGCAAATATTATAGGCCTTTTAGAATTTTTTATTTATTTATTTATTTTTTTTAAAGGAAACTTTACAACCCATGCTTATTGGTGAAACAAATGAAAATGATGTGTTTCAGGAGAAACTGCATTTTCACTGTCCATTGACGGGAAGTGCACAATAATTTGCGTTGGCCTGTGCCTCATTTTCATCTCAAGGCGGTCTGGTTTAGGGTCTTTGTTGTGGTTGGCCGACGTTTGGCACCTTTTAACACTTTTTCAGAGAAGTGCCGGGAAGGATGAAGTGGTCTTTAAAGCTGCCAGAACAGGAGTGGAGGAGGAGGGCATGTGGGAGGCTTTCAGGCTGGTACATGCTTCTAACAGTGCCAATGGTCAGCCAAATGAAACCTCAAAGGAAGTCCAGCTATTAGATTAAAAGTGGAGAGTATGTGCAGTGTAGCGATTGGAACAAAGGCTTTGAGCGATGGTGCTCATGCAGCTCATGTGATATTGTTAATAAAATTGCCACAAAAAAAGCAAAAGCCACTGCCTCCTACTAGGACTGTACTAAAATTTTGATTCTGTAATACTTTATAACCATTCATCAAAATAAAGAATAGTAACACTTTACTTATGCATTCTAAAAGTATTTATGGTTTACATTATAATTCATTATATTTTTTTGTTTTTAAATAAGTAATTGTAGCCAAAGTTAAAATGCATTTTAATATTTGCATATTCCTTGTTACATCTGAAATTGGTTATGTGTTGTAATGCATTTTACTTTCTAAAGGTGTGTTCATCAGTGAATAGATGAGCTTAATAATGTATCATTACGGTGGTTACAATTATTCATCAGACCATACAATGCATTATAAGGTGCATTACAAGCAGTAATAATGAATGCATTGAAAATATTTTTCTAATACATTATATATACAGTAAGTGCAGCCTTGCTCCGCCTCTGGAATGATTTTCTTTTTCGGCTTGCATCAAGACCTCATTTTTCAATCCCTCTTTACCTTCTGCCTGTTTCCTTTTTGTACATGCACTTTTCCAGTCTATTTCTGATGTATGAAATCAAGTCCTTCCTTACATTCTTTTTAGTTATTTCTAGTTTCTAATATCCCGTTTCTCACATAAGTAAAATGTTGACTTCTGCCTTGAAAATGTAATTGATATTTTACTCACAACATGGCCAGCTATTTTGTTTATTTTTGCTCTAGCAATAAAAAAGAAGCTAGAAACAGGATCACTTGGAATTCTGTGTAACAAAATCAGACTGAATTATGCATTTCAGACAGTGCTCTCATAAAATGTATCAGCACAGCGATATTTGCTCATATTAATGCTAATACAAAACCGTTACCTTAAATATTTACTATTATTCTTACTGTTATATATTACATATAATATATTTTATGTAATTATTTATTTATATATAATTTATAATTATTTATTTATGTATCATTTATAATTATTTATTTATGTATCATTTATAATTATATACAGTATGTATGTGTATATATATATATACAATTATTTATTATATAATAAATTATATACTAAGACCACTGTAATAGCAAGGTCAGCCATTAAAAATAAATATTATTTTATTTAGCCATATTTATTTTTAAAATTTTAGCCATTAAAAATAAATATTAAAATATAAAAATAAATATTGTTTTTAACAGTCAGACATACAAAAAATAAATAAATATTAAAAGATGAAGTTAGTCAGGTCAAATTACATAACCTTAAGAAAACTAAATGATATTAATGATTCAAAAATGAATAATATTTACTTTGAAATTGTTTTGAAAGTAAAGAAAAAAACATACTTTTTTGCTTTATGGTTATTCAATTTTGCCTTTTATCAACACGTAATTTGATGGATGGATGGATGGATGGATGGATGGAGGGAGTAAATTTGTATGTAGTATTGTATTTATTTCCAGAAGGACCAACATGAATGCATTAAATACAATTCTAAGATCTTCTCACTTGCATTTTGAATTTGATTTTTCATGATATAAAAAAAAAAAAAATCCATATTTTGTTGTTGGCCCTAAAACATTCAGACTTTCTAAGGTTACTGCAGGATTTAGTCCAGTTCCTATAGTAATTTTAACACTGGAGGTGGTAAAATCCGACTGAACCTCCCCATCAATGGAAACTTCATTTAGTGCTATGCAGGAAAAACAAGCTGGAGACTGAGGGCAGTGAGTCCAATCTCTCTGTCTCACAGCTGGAAAGCCAAAAGCCTGTGTGTGTGTGTGTGTGTGTGTGTGTGTAACGGTGAAAATACCGCACTTGGATATGCTGGTGTGAATGTTTGTGTATGTGGTGCACGGGTATTTGTAACTGTCAGCTGATGTTTGCGCTAGCTGTGTGTGGGTGTGTAGCCGGCGCTGTGTTTGTTAGACTAATGGTGTGTGTTACTCCACTAGTGTGTGAGCTGGCACAGGGATCCTACTCTTTTTTTTTTTTTTTTTTCTTCAGCAGACTCCTCTGGTATTCTTAGTCTGTTTGTGTATAATTAAAATGGTGAACTGGAATGCTCAAGTGTCAGCGAGATCGCAGTCTTATTTAGTTTTTTTCTCTCTCCGTAACCCTTCGCTGGTGCTCTCAGGCCTCCTTTACAGCTCTCTCCAGCTTTGCAGTGTGATTTCATCTCAGTTCTGTGTTTTCTGTGTAGTAGAGAGGTCACAGCATTCACCATGAGCTCACTGCAGCTGTGTTTAGGACGTAAGCGCTGATAGCATGCATGTTTATGTTACCGATTCGTCACACTGCCACCTGTTGTTCAGAGCTGCGCAAAGTAGGCGTGGACGCTATAAACAAGATGTTTTGAGTACAATGTTTAGTAATCCTATATGAATGTATGTAAATATACATGGTTTGCTTTTTATCCATGCAATTTAGCAATGTGAGAAACTTTTTGGCTAATGTAACCTTGCGTGTGTGTATATATATATATTAAATAACTTCAATCATGTTTTTTATCATTGATAATAATAATAATAATAATAAACATTTCGTGATTTCTGAAGAACTGGAGTAATGATGCTAATTTTATTTTAAAAAAATTAAAAATTTTAAATATATTCAAATAGAAAACATTTATTTCACAATATAACCGTTTTCAAATAAAATAAATATTCAAATGATATAAATATTACTGTCATTGTAATCAAATAAATGCACCCTTGGTGAGTATAAGATACTTATTTTAAAAACATTACAATATTATATTGTATAATATATATATATATATATATATATATACAAACATAACATTAGTATAAGTTATAAGCACAAAGTATAAGGTGAAATTATTAGAAATATTTATTAGTAAGTAATTATTTATATTTATTATAAATAATTATTAGTACATTTAATATTTACAATGGTATTTGTTTAAATGTCCATTTATATATATATATATATATATATATATATACACACATTTTAAATTTGGAAACTGACTTTTTAAACAACACAAAGTATAAGGTGAATTTATTTAATTATAAATAATTATTATTACATTTAATATTTACAATGGTTTATTTTTTAAATGTCCATTTCTATATATATATATATATATATATATACATTTTAAATTGGAAACTGACTATTTAAACAACACAAAGTATAAGGTGAAATTATTCAAAATATTTTCCATGCAAAGTAACAATAGCATTTTAACACAACATTCCCTAAAAGTCGTATATAAATTCCTAAAAGTAAAAAAAAAAAATCATATAATATTTGTTTATTTATTTTGTGCTGACTTCAACTCTTCTGTTTATCAGACTGACTGTCTTCTGATGCTGGTAGTGTCAAAATGACCGAATATCAGCCGGTCATTTCTGATGTTTTCTTGAAGATCATGTCGCTTAGCTTCTCTTGTGTTTGATCTTCCAGGTTCGAGCTGATGCGCATGTGCTGGCAGTTCAACCCCAAAATGCGTCCGTCCTTCCTGGAGATCATCAGCAGCATCAAGGACGACCTGGACGAGGGCTTCAAGGAGACGAGCTTCTTTTACAGCGAGGAGAACAAACCTCCCGACACGGAAGAGCTGGACATGGAGAACGTGGGAACCATGGAGAACGTTCCTCTGGAGCCGTCCTCCAGCCTGCAGCCCCTCGCCCCCTCTTTGGCCTCCCCTCAACAGTGCTCCCCTGCACCCCAGTGCTCCGGCACTCCGGCCGGCCCGTCGTCACCGCCTTCCTCCCCCAGCTCCCCGGACAAGCACCCGCTCCCCGCGTCTGCGGCGGCAAACGGGCCCTCCATGGTTCTCCGGAGCCCGTTTGACGAGTCCCAGCCTTACGCTCACATGAACGGGGGGCGTAAGAACGAGCGTGCCTTGCCTCTGCCCCAGTCGTCGGCTTGCTGATCAGCGGTTTCCGAAAACACGGACGTGTCTCTGTCTGTCAAGCCACTGTGTGGTCTCCTGAGAAGAAATATTAAAATAAAGAGACAAGGAACGAAAAAAAAAAAACAAATGGTATAAACTGAGAGTCCAGGCAATCAATTTCTTTCAATCATACCTCAACGGACAAAGTTTGAGTTTTCTTTGTTTTTTGTGTATTTCGATTGAATTGATTGACATGAACTCATTTGTTATTTCCGCAGACTGGATCACTGACTGACCTTCACTCTCGCACTCGATAGGCTGACTGTTTTTGTTACGTTTCGTTACTTTTCTAAACTTCCAAAACTGGTTCGGAAGGTCTATCAGAGCCAGCAGTGGTACGGTGGCATTATTGCGAAACGCTCTGCATATCTCCAAGCGAACCCTACACGGAAGCGCTTGTCTTTGTTTCCAAAGACGTGCGTCTAGATTAGAGAAAGGAGTACCTCTTCCGCCCATCTTAGAAGTAAGACCCAACTCCAATCAGGCTTCCCGCTCTCTTCGAATCGTCAACATAGTGGAGAAATTCGCCAATCTGCCAAATCTCTTTTTTTATGTTGCCAAATTGTATACTGTTCCCCCAAAATATGCAAAAATGTCCGCGTACGTTATTTACACTGGTGATCCAAAGCATCTTTTACTTTAAAACACAATCAATAGCGTGACCTTTCCCTGATTCTCACTTCTTCTCTGTCTTCTCGCTTTGGGTTTTGAAGAACGAAAGTGGATGAAGAACAAATGCAGCAGAGATCACATGGCAAAGAAACTTAAAAAAGGGAATTGGGTCAAAAGATTTCTAACTGTGGCATTTGAAAAATCTTCTCTCGTTTGGTCGTTCAGTCGAACTTCGGACCACAGAGCGTGCGCGTCGTTTGTCGGTCACTTTTGTACCTTTTTTACAGTCCAGATTGATCATTTATATGTCTGTGCTGAAAAAAGCTGCTATTTTATTCTCGTTTTTTTTCTTTTCGTGGTTGTAAAATTGTAAAGAGATTCTTCAGGTGTGATCCTTTGCCTTTCCACTACAGTCCAAGTTATGATGCTTATAGTTGTGCAAAAACAAAAGGTTCAATCTAACAGTTGGGTTTTCCAATGTCAAGTTGTTTAATGCCTTCTTTTTTTGTTAGTAGCGAAACCGGCAATAGAACACACTCGTTTCTTCGTGCCATTAATGGCGGCACCTCGTTCGACGCGATTCACTGTGTCTCTCATCACATTAATGCGCAACAAATACTCTCAGGTCAAACTCCTCAATGTTTCGGTCTCAGAATCCAATGTTTTGTTCTCTCATTCATTCATTCATTCATTCCTCTGTAACCGACAAGATATGACTAAAAATGTGGCAAAGTTTGAATTGGTTTCATCACTCGCCTTGAAGATAGACTCGTCTCATACTTTGGATTGATTGTTCAGCCTTATTTGTGACTGATCCTGCCGCCCTTTGTAAATGTTATAAACTCTGCGTTTCCTTTCTTCCGAGCAGAGCCTGATAAACAACGATTATACAGATATGATTCAGCATATCTCTATGCAGAAGTTGTGTTTGTAACATAGTTCACTTATATACATTTAAGATACAGGTTTGACTATGAGCGCCAGTTTTATGGGATTTTTTTTTTTTTTTTTTTTTTGGAAGGATTTTTCAAAGGAAAAACTGTCATCTTTTATGTTTTCCCCCCTAATCCTGACCTTTTTATTTTCATTATTTATTTTGTTTCTTCTTTTTTTCCCCCCTCTCTCTTGGTTTTGTGATATGTTTAATAATCACTGTAACCCCCCTTGATTAAGTGCAACATTTTAGATATTTTTATATGCTTTTTTTCATGACATTGGGAATTTTTTTTTTTTCTTCAGACATTTATCTACCTCACTCTTTTTTTATGTACCTGTATATAAAGTACATCTGACCTTTTTCATGAAAAAGACAATATTACTGCTCTCTGTATCTGGGTAAAACCTCATAAACGCTACAAATCACAATCTCGGAGTGGAGAAATTGCCGAATTACGGACTTTTTGTATGACTAGCTGCTTTCTTTCCTATCGGATCTCGCTTAAATTTGTTTATTATTTATTAAAACAAGAACAGGTCTGACAATTGACTCCAAATGTGCTGGAATGTTGTCGATGTTTAACTTATCCATCTTTTAACTTGAGGGCAAAAGTCAATAGATGGAATAATTCGAATGGATTTATTTTTTTGAGGATATAATGGTTCTGATCCCCTCTCCCTTTCATGTCTCTGAATCCCACTGACTGTTATTATTTTTAAGTTTTCATTATACAGTCATTGGAATACTGTGCTTGTATCAAAAACCAAATGTTCGTTGAAACTAAAAGTGGATTTGTGTACAGTATGTCCCCTCTGTAAGTGCATCAAATGTATATAAGTTTTGTGCTGGCTTTGGAAAACATATTTTTTTCTCAGCACAAACAAAAGATCAACACAAAGCGTAATTAAAAAAAGAAAAAATTGAGCAGAGCGATATAATTGTAAATGGTTGGAGATGTTTGTTAACTGAAATGACTGGTTTATGAGCCAATAGCTTCCCCCCCGTGTCGTATTTCATAGCAGTTCAACAAAAAATTACTCGTGGGCTGATTAAATATGCATTTTATAAGATATTCTTGTAAATTTTCACTAAAGCATTTTTATAATATTGGCGAAATTCGTCAGATTTTTTTTGTCCAATTTGGAAAAAAATTAATTACAAATCCAACAACATCAAATAGCAATACCAACTTCACGCCCTCCTCCACTGCCTTCATATCTATGGTCATTTTTTTCATCATTCAGATTTTTTAAATTGAACCATTGTCCAAGATCACCATCCTTATGCTCTCCTCTGACCATCTCAGACCAATGATTGATTTGTCAGTACAGATCTGTTGACTATGGGCTAGATCTTCTCAGGGCTGAAGGTTCAAGCGGGCGTCAACGGGACAGGAAGTGACCTGTTCCTCGACGCTCGCTCCACCCTGCTGCTGAAAACTGCTGCTCTCCATCATCTCACTAAAGTCCAGACATTTGAGAGGAGAGCATCGGAGGTGTTCCTGGTCTGATGGCGCCATCTACAACCTGGAGAAGGGGTGTGTTGTGTACTTCACTGCTTAATGCTGGTGGAGCAAAACCGTTTGGTTGTTCGGTGAACTGTTGAGATGTGTTAGATGTGTGTGTGTGTGTTGGTTATATAAAGGGGTTACAGATCCAGAACGGGGGAGGGGAGAATGGAAAAAGTTTTGTGGTCCAAGTCTGTTCAAACCTGGCTGTTCTGATTAAAAAAAAAGGCACTTATTAACTTTATTTGTGTTGATTTCTTTTGTATACATTTGAAGACAAATTAAATGTGTCCCAGGAGTGTATGGAGAAGATTAACATATTGTATTTATGGTGGCACATTGCTCAAAAATACTTATAATAAATCCAGTTGAATAGCTTTCTGATGTCTGTTCTTGTATTTTAAGTAGGACTGAATGAATGAGTACGCAGTATAGTTGATGCATCAGACAGACAGCATATTAATAGATATTTTAATTGAATAATATTTTCTCCTGCATTGGCTACAAATTGCACGTCAGGAAGGAATTTTGTGTCAGTGATGTCATGTAAATCAAGCGTTATTGTAAATAAGTTAACCAATATTGGTATTCCTAGCTGCTAGCTTTTAATAATAACATGTCAGGGATAAGCTATTTTGTGTAGTAGTGGACTCAAAGTGTCATTCACAAGGTTAATTAAACTAATTTTCAATATATTAGGTCTACTTAATATGACAAGCTTCATCATTTCTGATTTTTAATATGACTTTGGGTAAGTAATTCAAATGAATTGTATCTAAATGGCTATTTTGACATTTATCTTAAGTAAAATAACGTTTATAGAAAAATACTTGTATAGTAAAGGTTATTTATTTGTTCAGCGGCTCATCTCTAGCGACTTTGATGTAAAGGAAAACTACATTACCCATGATGCTCTCTGTCTGTACTATCCAGTGACGCGCTTTCTCTCAGACGGAAGACCAGTGCGGCACAAAAACAACTCCACAGGTTTTAAACTGGGACCATTTTATTACTACAGGGATGTAATGTAAGTTGTAATTCATAAATGATAATGATATTGATGTATAGCGTATTTCAAATGTCAATTTTATTATTTTTTCACTCATTCAACGAGCTGGCCAGCATGATTAGATTTCTGCAGAGACTTGCGTTTATATTTACACTTGTGTCGTGTGTTATCAGACTGACTACAGTACAGTATAGATCAATATCAGAACTCGTGTTGGTTCATACTGTTAGTGTAACAACGTCATTTGGTGTTTTACATTACATAATACATTTATAGCTAGCTAGCGTTACTGTACAAGTAAACATCTGGTCATAAGTAACTCTATGTCTGTGAAGGTTTTACTACTATCATTTTCTATTGCAAATTATGTACATTACCTTAGTTTGGTCTATTAAAATCAATATGAAGAATAGTGAGAGATCCAATATTACTGTTAATACTACTACTACTATTATTTTATTTAATTCATTATCTGTCATTTGATTTTGGGGTGAATATGTCTGATTATCAACATGATTGATTTACTTGCTTATGTTTTTTTTTTTTAAAGTAGACGTTAAAAGAGGGAAAAACTCTCTCTCAACCAAAGACGGTTCTCACAGCCATGGCCGCTGAACTCCATGCAGCAATTTTTATGGCCAAACAAGAGCGACACAAGAATCTTTTCCTGAACTATAGAAACCTCAACAACTTCCCTGTCGAGCTCCTCCGAGATGAAGGGATGCAGTTCCTGGAGCGTCTCTTCATGAAGAGAAACTCACTCACATCCCTCGTAAGATCTCAGTCCCAGTGCTGTTAGTCTTCAGTTTTGATTCAGCCCTGTTTTATATTGTATAATACTGTAGAGATATATTTGCCTATATTATCCTAATACTGTTTTCCTCCTGTCAGCCAGAGAATCTGGCTCAGAAGCTTCCCAACCTGATTGAATTGTGAGTATCTTTGTTATACTCTTGCGACTTTGGTTCATGCTGTTATTATAACAATGGACAGTAAGTTTTGTACAACTGTAATATTACTGTTGCCCAGTAGATGTCCCTGAGTCATTGCGGTGTTTTACCACCCATACATAAATAACTAGAATGACTGGATGGGCAAAGAGTTTGGTTGAATTAAATTAATTTAGTTACATTTTTACTGCATTGGAAAATGAGATTATGAAATGTAATCCCACAACTTTTTTTTTTCTTCTCTTTAAGATACCTGCACTCAAACAATATTGCAATAATTCCTCAAGGTAATGTAATTTTATAATTATATACATCAGTATTTTGATGTCAGATACAAGATGCATTGCGTGGTAAATGATGTTGTTGTTCCAGCAATTGGCAACCTTGTGAAGCTGCAGTCACTGGACCTGAGTGACAACGCTCTTCAAATCATCTGCCCAGAGATTGGTCAACTGCGCTCATTGCGACACCTGCGATTGGCCAACAATCAACTGAAATTCCTCCCGCAAGGTGAGTCGTCCACATTTATCAGCATTTATCAGAAACACTGAGAATGATTGAGCTGCTGAAACTGAATCTGAATCTAATAATAGAATTATAATCATTTTATAACAAAAACATTAATTGCTGTATATTTAGTTTTTTTATATTTATGCTTTACCCACGCTACTCAGCATTAAAATAATATTTCGGATTACATTGAAATACATGCATTTTGCATTTACCCTGAGATATTTTAACCTTCAAATGGTCTTTGTTTCCTGTTTACACTTACACTTACGACCCCAACAATTGATTGAGTAATTGTACAAAAAATATTTTTAATCATACAAATGATATATCATTTTTTTGTTTACTTCTCATCTATGCTGTGTTTTTGGAGATATAAAGTACTTTTGTATCCATATACCTCACAATTCCTCAACTGCATCATTAGCTTGCATATGAAATATTATTTTCTTATGATACATTGCATTTATGCTCTAGTACTAGGCCTTCATTTTTGTGTAAAAAATTTTCAGATTTATGCCGGATTTTTTTTTTTTTTTCACATGTAGAAAAGTGTAAACATTTTTTTACATACCTTCAGAACAACTGAATCAAGCCCAGTTTTTTTGTAGATAGATAATGTATGAAAAGTCACAAAATTAAGTTAAAGTCGATTGGGGTCATATAGACCCCATGACCCGATTGAGGGCTACGTGATTCGAGCTGAATTAATTGCAAAAAAATTGAGAAGAATGCGAAAGCGGAATGTTTTCTTTCCTCTTTCGGCAACTTTGCAATTAAAATGTCTCTGGTTTAACAGCCCCTTTATGCTGTCATGGACATGATTTGTAATACAAGATATTTTTTCTTGTGTATTTGAGCAGCTTTAACTGCATCAAATCATTTCTTCGCTCACACTGCATCGCCCGAAGCTTTTAAACTTCAGTACATGTTGCATGCAGTTATTAAACTTCATTTAATAAAGAGATTTTTGCACTCAGCATGACACTTAAATGGTTCTGAGGAGTAAAACTTCATAAAGAGACTGTGGGAAAATGACTAAGCCCTTTGACACTCTCTTTATTTGCTCTGCTTCAAAACACGCAGTTGTTTTATATCAGTCTTTTTATTGTTCTTTTCCATTTTAATTGGGTAATGTTTCATCTGAAGCCGAGACTGTTCATGGCTTTAATTTATCATATGTGAATAGTTCCAAATGAAGTGTTTTACAGTGAATTTTTACAACAGTTTCTAGCATATTTTATCTAGTTGACATGCATTGCACACATGTTTGAGAGAAGTGTGATTTTTTTTTTTTTTTAATTTACACAATTATAGTTCCTTTTCAATATTACATTATGTATCAGAAGAAGCCATTAAGACACTCCCTATGGTTATAATTAATCACACTTAATCGCACCTAACATTTCAAGTTTTTTTTTACACTTTTATGTTGTAATAATTTCAAATTTCATCTCCAAATTATTGTAGAAACAACATAAAGACAGCATATTTTAAATATTTGATGTAACAGATTGAATTAAGTTATGAAATTCTTCAAAGTCTTCACTATATACATTAAAAATGAAATGTAGTTTAATTTTTATTAAAGCTACAAAAGTTATTCAGTCAAGAGCAGTGAGTTATTTTTCTCGGTTTCATTTGTTCTCTGATTGATTAACCCTTCACGTGTTGGTCAAAAATAACATTTGTTTTAATTCAATGAAATGATTGTACTATATTTTAGTTCGATAATGTTTTTTTATTTAATATATATATATATATATATATATATTTTTTTTTTTTTTTTTTTTTTAGGGGATTTTATGGTACTAAATTATAATCCACTTATTCACTTTTTGAGCATGGATATGTAAATAAGAGCATTATTTTATAATGTAACAGTACCTAAAGGATGGCAGGGGAAAAAATGGATACTTAAATATTAAATATTTTTTTTATATTAAATATTTAATATTAAGCGTTAATTTTTTTTTTTTTTTTTTTTTTTTCAGTTAAACTGAAAAAAATAATCGCTTGCGTTAACTCATTAATTTTGACTGCCCTAGTTACAAAAGCCTGTAATTACCTGATTCCTACTTGAAACTTTACACTTTGGAAAAAATAGACAATTCAGATTTTTCATGGAATATTGAAGTACTTATTATGAATGATTTATCTGTGCATCATTATTTTTTAATCTTTAATCAAAATAACTCCCCCCCCACCCCCTCTTGCAACTACCTCTCTTCTCTGATGATGTGTTTACTGATGTGAGGGCGGGGCTACCTGTCACTCACATGAGATCGACCAATAGCAAACCACAACAATCCAATCAATTCCCCATAGACAAAATCAAGTCATGTCCTACATTTTTTTACTTGTTCGTTCGGAAAGCCATTTCACTCCGATGTAAGTCATAATAGGGAAGAAAAGGCAACTGCAACTTCTGTTTCATGCCAATTTGAACATAAATGTAAATTGACTTGTATTGGTAGAGCTGGGAGATCTTCGAGAGCTGGAGACTCTGGACGTGTCCATGAACCTCCTGAGGACTCTTCCAGAGCGCCTGCACCAGTGCCTGTCCCTGCAGTGTTTGACAGCTGACCGAAACATGCTTCAGTGCCTTCCTCGCCAGCTCTGTCTGCTGCCTGACCTCAATGAGCTCTCCATGGCTGCCAACTGCCTGACATCACTACCCCTGGGTGAGCGGATCAAGACGTAACATTTACAATACATTTACATTTGTGCATTTGGCAGACCCAAAGAAACAGTGTATTCAAGTTTTACTACCATTCAAAAAGTTTGGGGTCCGTTTTAAGAAAAAAAAGGTAATTAATACCTTTATTTAGAAAGAATGCAAATGAATCCAAAGTGACAGTAAACAAAAGAGTTCTGTTCTTTTATAAGAATAGAATTAAGATAGAATTAAGATATAAAATATGTGTATATAAATTTATAGATAAAAATTAAGAATAAGAATTGTCTTCAGCAGTAAATCAGCATATTACAATGATTTCTGAAGGATCATGTGACTGAAGTAATGCTGAAAATTCTGAAATAAAGTACATTTTATATTCAAATGAAGTGTTAAATTGTTACATTTCTGTTTTACCTGTTATGACCAAATAATGCAGCGTTGTTGAGCATAACGTCTTTCAAAAACATTTGAAAAATCCTACCCCAAAAACTTTTTTTCCTTTAGTTAGTCTGAATTCAGTCCAAATACTCCACACAAGTTCTCAGACACAAGCAGACCAAAGGTTATTTAAGCAATAAGACTCATGAAGCCATGGTTTACAGTGAATTTAGAACAGCTAATAGAAATTCATTATAAACCACAGCTTCAATTTATAAAATGGCTATTATAATAATAATAATACTGTATAACATTATACTGGTGTAAGAGTGTAGAGTGGCTTTGAACAGGACTCAACCAATCATTATAATAATATGTGTAGCATTTTTGAGAGCAACAGTTAAGGGGAAGGTTTTCTGTTACACAGCTCTTTTATGACTCCAGAGGACTATATATCACGAGTACCAAGTGAATCTCCATTGTTGCCGATATACTGATGCTTTATATTTCTGTCAGATATGGGCCGTTCCATGGAGCTGCAGTTTGTCTTTGTGGACAACAACACTCATCTGAAGGCTCTCCCATCGTATCTTTATAACAAAGTCATCGGCTGCAGTGGGTGAGCTCTTTTTTGTCGTTGAAGTATGCTATCAAAATCACAACTTTTATGTTGTAAACATTTCTATGAAGTAGGGCTGTCGATTGATAAAAAAAAAACTAATTAATTAGATAACATCATGTATTAATTTAGGCAGAAACAAGCTCATTAAAGCAATTATTGCAAGTTGTGATCATAATAATTACAATATATTAGTGCTGTCAAATCGATTAATCACAATTTATGGCATCTAACATAAAATATATATTGTGTGCGTGTATACATATATATATGAGATCTGGTGACTGTGGGGGCCATTTTAGTACCGTGAACTCAATGTCATGTTCAAGAGACCCATTTGAAATGATTTGAGCTTTGTGACATGGTGAAGTAGCCATCAGAGGATGGGTACATGGTGGCCATAAAGGAATGGATATGGTCAGAAACAATGCTCAGGTAGGCTAAAAACTACAATTTATAGGAAATTTGTATATAGAAACGATATTTAGAAACATAAAAAATAAAATTACACATTTTTATTTAAGTGAACCTTACATAAACCCATTATACTGACTAAATGTCAGATTTAGCGGTGCATTTTATACAGTGTATTTGGTGGTGTTTCACTCTCTGTCAATACTATATAGTGGTCAAGCGGTGCAGCAGAAACAAGTGGAAAATGTGTGTAGTCTTCGGTCAGATTTTCCGTCCATCTGTAAACAACTTTCAGACAAGAGTTTACATGCCTCACACAGACATCAAAACTCAACATTCACTTTGGTAAATCTCACAAAAAGTTCTTCTATAAACTATAAACTTGAATCTGGCTCGTCCACTTTTAACACGCTCTGCTGCTTTCGTTGCACATTTTCCAAAGAGAGATTCTCAGAGATTCCAGCTGAGCACCGACTCTGGCACGAGTATCTGCACCATTTCAGAAACGATGTCTAGGTGGGTAAATACAAGAGAGTTCTGACATTTTAAGTCGGAAAAGTATCACAGTGCTGATGATATGGCTTCTCATGATATTTGCTCTGATTGATCCCTGGCTGTTTCACACGGACACCTGGTCTAATGTGTCGATGTTGTTCATAAAAGGTTATTTATCTGTATGCATGCACAGATGTGGTCTAGCTGGTCAGGTCTCTGACGTGAAGCAGCTCTGCTTGACTCTTGGAGATGTGACTGTTCCTCTGCCCTCTGAAGTGAAGGCCATCGGCTCCGAGACTGACAGTGTGTTGCCTCTGGAAGAGCTGGCATGCAGAGTCCTGCATGCGGCCCACAACTGGACCGGTAAGAGTCGCAATTCAAACAAACCTATGACAATTGAATTGAGTTTCTTCACATTTACCAAGCAAATAAAACATGTCTTGTTCAGAATGTCACTCCAAATCTGATTTATGCATATCCAATTGGAATCCAATCCTATATATCATGTGTGAACGACAAAAAAAAAAAAAAATCCCGTGAAATACGATTTTTACAAATCCGTATGTGCAGATGGGAATTTCCTGACTCCGTTCCTGTTGCCCAAGAGTCTACTGGAAGTCGTCCGGTGTCCTCTGGGTCACTGTCACCGCTGCAGTCAGCCCATGTTCACCATCGTCTACACCAAACTGTTCCCGCTCAGAGAGACTGCGCTCGCAGGGGTGCACAAGAGGTACTGATGCTGTTGGAATATCATATCACAAGTGTGTGTTTTGGATTTTGTCTGTCCGCACTAGACACGACTACAAGATGCGACAAAAGCAATTAAAAATGACGGTGTGTGGGTGGATTCTGTCTGGAAGTCCATTGCACTCACAACAAAATGAATCAAAGGATTAGTTCAGCTCAAAATGAAAATTTCCTGATAATTTACTCACCCCAATGCCATCCAAGACGTTCATGTCTTTCTTCAGTGGAAAAGAAAAATGCATTTTTTGAGGAAAACATTTTGAGATTTTTCTCCACACAATGGACTTCAACAGTAACAAAATTGTTTAAAAAAAAAAAAAAGTCCAAATCAATGCAGTTTCAAAGGGCTTTGATGAGGACCCCAGCTGAGGAATAGGGTCTTATCTAGCGAAATGATAGGTCATTTAAAAAAAAATATGTATATATACTGTACTTTTTAACCACAATTGTTCGTCTGCGATGCGCCAGGCATTGTGTAATCATGTTGGAAAAGTCACGCTGGACATAGGTGGAAGTACCGCCCATTGATTTAAACCATCCAAGATACACACACGAAAGGACCATTTTAAATAATAAACTGACACAAAGGCATAAATACGTCATTCAACATTCAATAAAATTTGAACGATCCTTTTTCTACATGCTTGTAATCAATGGGTGGTACTTCCGTCTACGTCCAGCATGACCTTTCCAACGTGATTACATGATGCCTGGCGTGTCGCAGACCAGCACAAGATGAACAATTGTGATTAAAAAGTACCGTATAGAATATATATATATATATATATATATATTAGTTTTTTATTATTATTTATTTATTTAGCTGACGCTATATATAGTATATAGCGTCAGCTAAATAAATAAAAGCGTCAGCTAAATAAATATATATATATATATATATATGTATATATATATATTCATTTATATATATATATATATATATATATATATATATTGAGGTGAAAATAATCCTTTAAGTACATAATCAAATTCATAGATATTAGACTATTTTAACATACTGAATGACTGACTGTCTTTGTCATAGAATACATTTGTTTGTTCACATTTAGTTCTTGTTTCCTTTCATTTATTTTCAAGATCTGAGGTGAATTATCCATTGTCACTTTCAGTATGGCTATATAGGTCACACAAAATGATATTGCAACTCACAATAAATTATTTTAACATTAAAGGAGAACTCCAGCGCAAAATGAACCTTTGGTCTAATAAAACATCGGTACCTAGTCGACCGTTCTCTGAGATTTGTTTTCATGATAATCGAATGTAAAGAGCTTAATCTCTAAAAACTGTTTAGTGTATAATGCTAAAGAGAAATCGCTAGTTAATACCACTAACAAGGCTCAAAATAGCCCCACATTAACACTGTAACATAATGAGGCTCCATACATGCAAAACGAAGCATTGAGAACTTTGTAAGTGTACAGACCGTTTAATAAGAAGATACGTTATAAGACAGTTCACTTTGCGTATGTCATCGTCCAGCCGATCAATATTATTGCTGAATATTAAATACCAGAATGCATGTGCATTTGCCGTTATGTGCATATTAATTTACCAAAAACATACTCTCTTTCATACATCTCATATCTTGCATTCAGAAAACTCTCTCTCACACACACACTCTCTGACCCCTCTTACTTCCCCTATCTCCTCATCTTCCTGCTTGTTTGATTGGTTGAATTGATCTGTGCTTGCTCTGATACCCGTCATGTTCCATCTGTAATGCAACGCTGTGGTTTTGGTATCAACATCCAGTAGCGTAACCGAATCAGCCTGCTGGACTGCTGCTCTCAGCTACTTCACGTGCATTAAGAGATCTAATCCACTCGCCAATTACCTCTTACCCTGAGTGTTCGACGGTCGTTTGCAGACCAGCGCTGGTCGAAAAAAACAAAGACAAGCTATGTGTTTAAGGGAATTCTTTTCCATTTGCTTCTTTTTCACCTTTTATTCTCTCCGTTTTCAACCGCAGCTCATCAGGTTAGCGTGTATTTAGTGAAAATACAGCAGGAAACCCTCGCTGTTTCAATATCACTTCATCAGCATGCTTATGAAAGCTTGTTGTGGGTGTAAAGTAACCTCCCTTATATGCATATCTGCATATTTTGAGTAGGGATGAAAGCTCATAAAAATGATTTTGAAACATCATCTCTTTCCCTGTGAGATTGCTTCACTTGAGCTAACCATACAAGGAATTTGCTAAATGTTGCGTTTGACATGTGTTTTTGATACTGGTAAGGTGAGAATCTTTGGTTGCTATCTTTTTTCCCTTTTTATTCGTGAGAAAATACTATAATATGATTGATTACAGAACCAAAAAGTTGCCATCTAAAGTTTTAATCTGTTTATTTGACAGATTTATTTCTTGTCTCAAACGTGCATTTTATGTCTGGGACTAGTTTAAGATTTGTCTGTGAAGCTATAAGTGAAAATTGTTGTAGATTTCCTCTGTTTTCTTCCACAGAACCACAGTGAGTTTTGTTGCGTACTGCTGCTCTAGTCAGTGTCTGAGGACGTTTGACCTGCAGGGCTGATGTCTCACAGCACTGCTCATGGTGTGTTCATCTTCACAAAGGATATCAGACATCTTTCTGAGCTTCAAGCCCCACTTCAGGAACATTTGACACACCCACCGTCACGAAGATCTTCATGACAGACATTAAAGTATGTCCTCCTGTCCTGAGTGTAGCATCTTTTAAGAAAACCAGCAGTTTGGTTAAACCCGATTACGTTTCACAAATGAATGTAGAACTGAAGCAATCGATCAATAAAGTATTGTTTGTGTTGGGATTGTTACGGTTTCTTGAGAAACGTAACATTTATTCTGTTTTAAAGATTACCTACATATATAAATTTAAAACGAATGACGTTTAAGTGAGATATGGATATTTTTGTTTTCATTTGAGAGGAAAACAGAATTGTTTTTTAGAGCACTATCCTGAAAATATTACTGAAATGTCACATTTAGTGAAGTATTTCATAAAGACCATGACCTAATTTTTTCCTTTTTAAATGTAAATGTGTGTCAGTTTAATCTGAGGCTCATAATGCAAGTGTAAAGTGACCAGGATCCAGCTCTTTTAAAACACTATGAGTTAGGACTACATAGATACTGCTATAAAGTGCCAATTGACTTAAATGAAAACATGAAATTGATTGTTCTCATTGAGTACTATTTTTGTGTAAGAGAATATTTTCAAAAGACTGAGACTACACTACAGCTGTCAGTCGGTGTGCCGATACATCAGCGTCGTTAAGCTTTCAGGCATGACTTTCTTGCTAAATGTATAGATGTTACTGTTACAGTTCTTTGTGATTTGAGTTTGTTCAGCCTAACTTTTTTCTGTTGTTGATGTTTCATGTTGGCATTTATACGTATGTATTTGTGCTGTTATTCGACTGTTTGGCTACAATAACAATGTTTAAAACATCTCGGAGGTTTTCTAATTTCAATTTCATTCATAGTGAGCACCGTTTTGACTGTGAATGTAACTGTTATGGCAGCACTGAAGCTGCATAAATACACAGAATCATTACATTGTTTTGTGTTTGGATGTTGATTCTTTCAAGATGCTGAAAAAGAGACAACTCTGGTCTAATATCTAACGTAAGATGGCATATCGTATATGGCTTTTATATGACACTGCGTCTTTAAATGTAATTTAGAAACTCTTGAACTCTACTTTTAGACAGTTAGAAACAATATTGCTTGTGATACTTCTTGCTCTGTGGATCTGAGAATTGAAATATGATCTTTAAGGGTATTATTTACAGTGTTTTTCTCTTCCATGATACTCGGACATGGGGAAACTATTTCATCCGTACTGTGCTTTCTGAAAATTAGACCTTTTTGCTTCGACTTTGTATATACTGTATATTCCAAAACAAATGTGGTTCTATGCATTTTACTAGTATTTTATTTCTAATGATATGCAAATATAATCACGTCTAATTGCTTGTGCAAATGCAAAATTTAACTTTTTTTTGCTTTACACTATTTCTCAACTGAGAGCAGAAACTGATTATTTTATAATTTTAGAATAATAATTTTATAACAGAAGGTATGGATAGATTTCGTGAGATCTTACTCCATGCAGACTGGAAGCAGACTCATCAGTTTTTCAGCTCATTTCAGGTCAGAGCAAGATTTTTTCTTCCTTTGTGCTGTCTGCATCATTTTACATAAATTAAGATGCAAATACTTCAGCGCCTGTTATATTACTTATAACCTTAGTAATTGTGAGATTTTATACTAGGTGATTTTATTTATTTAATTCCATGTTTTTGTTCCTCAGCCTGGAAGAAGCTCAAGTCTGACTTCACGGAGACCGTTAACATGAAGACATCTCATAAATCACCCTGAATGAAACATGTTTGTGATATATTTTCCTGTCCCTGACACTATATATTCCCCGTGACAGGTCAACACATGTCTCTCCTGCTCTTCATCTTCTCACCAAAACTGTTGACATTTAGTAATCTAGAGTTAAGTAGATTCAAAGTAGTTTACTGTAACATTTCCTTTATCTGTTTTGCTTTTCCTTCAAGTGTGTTTGTGTGTATGAGAGAGAGAGAGCTCATATTTCCTCACACATAAACAACATCTGTGCATAAAATTAATTATTCTAGCTCCTCACACAATTCTTTATGTATGCACAAATGTATCTTCTGCAGATAGATAGATAGATAGATAGATAGATAGATAGATAGATAGATAGATAGATAGATAGATAGATAGATAGATAGATAGATAGATAGATAGATAGATAGATAGATAGATAGATAGATAGATAGATAGATAGATAGATAGATAGATAGATAGATAGATAGATAGATAGATAGATAGATAGATAGATAGATAGATAGAACGGTGTGTGTGTTTGTGAGGTGGAGTGGAAGGTCTCTGAAGGACACACTGATGTAGAGGGAGGAGCAGCGAGCAGCGCGTGCACGAGTCCAACAATGACTCGGGATTATACCGTGTACATGATTCCTGCTGTTTCTCCTTTTGTCTTTCTTCTGCTACTCGAAGGCGCCCGACTGAAGGTGAGAACTCTGCTCTCTGGTGTAGCGATGTGGATTTAAATGCGTGTTGGTGAATTAATAAGTCGCATTAAGTAACGTTATTACACAGTGATTTAATTAGCTAACTAATTTCGTTGATAACCGTTGCCTACTTAAGTTACGAGCAAGTGTGTGACGTCAGCATTCGTCGCTTTTACGTGTTTTTGTTGTTGAACGTGTCTGTCAGTGATGTTGGGCTAGATGGAAGATAGAAAGTTGCCACTTTGGTTTCTAAAAAAAGGGTTAATCAAATTGTACTGTAGTCGTATGTTATGTGTGATAAATTATTTTTTAATATTGTGATAATGTAATGTAAAAAAATGTTTTCATTTCTACTTTTTTAATTAAGATCGCCTTGTGATTAGCTGATAAATAATACATTAACAAAGAACGTGTAATTTCTACAGTGAGTTTTGATGTCAGTTTACAACATATTAGGCAATTTTGGAAAATAAAAATAATTATAATTGTCTATAGACACTTAAAATAATTATAAGGGTCACTTAAAGCCACGCTTAAAAATACCAACGCATTATAAGAAAATATCAAGTGGCATTTATTTAATTATTTATTTTATTACTGTTCAAAATGATGGCAAAAATGTAGTGTGATGCTTTCTAAATTTTAAATGTTATGTCCATTGTTCCATTGAACAAAAATCTAGCCTGATTGACATGCAATTCATGTAAACGTGAAACAAAATTGTTCAGAAGAAAAGCTCTACTTAACTTCATAAGTTTAACTGTTTATTGGCATTGATGTAGCCAAAGAAAAATGTACTTCATATATTCTGACTACTGTTATGATGTTAAAATGTACCTATTTACCTAGTTATATTGACTCTTTCAAACTAATGCTTGTTTTTCTACATGTACTTTTATATTTAATCCATTACATTTGATTAACAGCATATCTAACCTATCATATGCATGTTTTTTTAAAATATATCATACCATTTCGCATGGGCTTTATGTGTTTTTGAGCTGTCTGTACTTCAGAAGAATTGACTTCATTCTCATGTGGGGTCTTGTTCCAACAACACAGCCTTAGACCTCTGTCTGTCTTCTGCCCGACCGCCGCTCCACATGTTCGAAACTAAATAGATTTACCATCCTTTAGAAATTATACTTGATAAATACAGAAATCAAATATAATTGTCTCTAAATATTAGCTCCCCAGTCTGGCTTCCTGCAGACCCAAGAAGCTTTCTTTTGTGAAGTGGAAATTGAAACGTCTGCGCCTTGCCAAATCAAACTGTACATTAGATTTGAGGAAGGAGCATGAGTGTGCTTTATTAGACAGACTGTTAAGATTTAGTGATCGCAGCCAAACCTGAGGGCTTGAGGAGGGTTGGCGCTGTGCCTCTGGGACTGGACTGCCAACTACTCCAGGCTTTATTAAACTGTCTGGCAATGGGTAACGTACAGTATAATACAGAAATACAATTCTTTTGTGAACTTAAGTGACATGGCATATTGTTTATTGTGCTATCTTTAGTGTCTTCTCATAAAATGGTGTAAGAAACAATTATCCAGGGTTAGTTTGTGAGAATTGGGAAGGCAATTTTGTTGGGGTATTTTTGAAGAATAGAATATTATTACATGGCTCTCTCATGGCATTCTGCAGTTGAATTATTTTTGCATGCATGCTTTTGCTAATGTTTGATTAGAGCCCTGGGTGGGATGGATAGGTGTTGGTGGCCGGTGGTCTGCAGTCTTAAAGGGATAGTTCACTTTGAAATTAATTTTTGATATGTTTTAGCTTACCTCAAGGGCATCCAAGATGTAGGTGTTTCCACAGCATTTTCAATTTTGACATTTTTTGGTCAAACCGTTGTTGTCTATCAGTCATACACTGGAGGTTAAGGGGGTCCATGTCAAAGAGCATGCACAGAGAAGTCAAAATTAAACATGATTTAATGACTCGTTATATAATACTATATTATATAGATATATCGAAATCGTAATTTCCCGTATATCTGAATATGATTAGTGAAAGGTACAACTTCCGAAATCTCCGTCTAAACGATGTGTGACGTAGACACGCGAGAGATCACTTCGGGCGAAACGTCTGGAGACGGTTCAGTTCGGTTCAGTTGGACATCTGATTCAGATCAGTATGACGGCTGTTAACAAGAGGTAAACACCATATAAATACTGTTCGTTTTCTCACACAAACCGCTCGTTTCGTGTCTTAGGCCATCAGTGCATCAGTACTTACATTTACGAGTCCTTAAATCATGTTTAATTTTGACTTCTCTGTGCATGCTCTTTGACGTGGACCCCCTTAACCTCCAGTGTATGACTGGCAGACTATCAAAATTGAAAATACTGTGGAAACAAAGACACCTACATCTTGGATGCCCTTGAGGTAAGCTAAAACATATCAAAAATTAATTTCAAAGTGAACTATCCCTTTAAGTCGTGTTGACTTGAGTTGTAGCTGGAGTCAAGCTGGAAGTTTGACCGGGTTTATCTCAGGAGTCAAGCCAAGTTGGGGCTCCATACTCTGGGCTTAGGGGGGCCTCTTAATGGGCACCCCACACCGGGATTCTGGAGCCTTAAGTCCTCTTGGCTCCCGAGTTATGCCTGGTCAAAGGTGGAGGTTTAGCCGGGTGTATCTTGGGAAGGAAGCCGATTTGGGGCTCCAAACTAGTTTACTCAGACTAGAGAATAGTTTATTTTCTTGCATCACCCTTTCTTCTAATGTTATAAAACAATTTACATTCAAAAGAGTATTTGATAAATAACCATCTAATAAGCATACAGTCTCTGAGTAAGTGATAATGACCAACTAACTGACATTTTAGATCAGAATTAGAACCTGATTAAGATCTGATTCACTTAAGTGCAGTTCATCCATACTTTCACCATCAGTTCTGTCTTTTTTCATTTCCGTTCACCCTTTTGACCTATAGTCAATATGGAGGATGAGGTTCCCTGATCCAATTGGAGTTGACTAAGTCTTCTTTTAATCCGATTCCTCAAAGCAATCCTCTGTAGATCTGTAAAGGTTCTTTGCTGTCACCTTTGACCCTGTAATGGGCGAATTGCATAGCGGTTCAAACATTATGGGCCTAACAAGTAGATTTCTGCAGGTACAGGGAGAAAAATAAACTTGATTGTGTTGTGTGCCAGGATTTTTATATTTTATACTAGGAATTGTTCTTGTAATCGTTGCTTATTCAGAGTGTTGAGGGTTTGTTGTTGAAATGTGTAATTTGTTGGCAATTATTTCCATTCAGGATGTATTTTGCACAATCTGGGCTTTGTTCACGCAGCTAGTTCTTCAGATTTGATTTCAAGTCTTATTTTTAGGACTGAATATCCACACTGTATAACTAAGATGAGCTGTATTCAGTTCAAGCAAAGCTGCAGCGTTGGGCGTACGTCAACTGATCATCTCTAGTTATAGCACGAAATATACACGTAGCAACCTCAGATGGTATGTCGAAAGAACGCCTTGGTTACGGACGTATCTAATCCTCGTTCCCTGAAAGAGAGAGCGGCGACGTTATCAGTTCTGACGTATCATTGAATGTGACCGACTGAAAGGGAACCAATATGACTTACTGAAATGTATGGCTTATGACAATATGACTTACTCACCTCACAAACTACCTTGTAACCAATTCGTCAAAGTGCGATCGTCAACAAGTGGATTTCTGAGCTGGTGTGAGTGAGTGGGGGCGGGGCTCATTTACATATTCATAGAACTGCGTATACTAAAATGGGCAAGGTTGTAGAGTTGCATTGAAGTTACTTTAAGGCATGAAGAATTTTTTTTTAAGGAGAAAACGCTTAAATATGTCATTTTGGTGATCAAAAACGACTTTTAAGGGATTGACTACAGGGGAGGGGACATAATGTACCAGCTGACAGGGTTCCCTGTATAGTTTACAACATTAGTTAAGAAAGGTTTTTTCCCCGGCTTGAGAGTACTATCCAAATTAATTGAGATTAAATCAAGATTCTCACTCCAAGCTGAACTCAAAAGTTGGCAGCCCTGTTGTTCAAACAATGTAGTCAGTATTTCGGTATATCTACATCAGTTGCTATTGTAATGGCTAAGACTAGACTTTCTTCTGCAATAACTAAGGACAGAAAACTGGTCTTTGTGCCCCTGCTCATTGCATGCATCCATTCATATGCTGACCAGATAAACCAAATAAAGGATGGTTTCAGGTCGAGACATTCCAGATCCAAACTAATTGAGAGACAGCATGAGATTAGCGTACATTAGTTCTCAGTGTGAGCTTTATGATATCATGAACAAGCACAGCAGGACGGAGTCTGTCAGTAGCTCTTACGTCTGGGACTCAGCGGGGATTCTTTGGTTGTGTGTGCTTAAGTCGTACCATAAATAGGAAATGTTTGCTGAAAGGTGCTGATCATATTAACGAAAGAGTAAAAACAAGTCTGAGGAATTGATATTCTTGCAAAAACACTTTAAGGAAAAGTGGTCTGGGGATATCTGGCAGATCTTATTAAATGTGTTTTGGACAGACCAGTCAATGTACAGCAGTTGAGCTCTTTCTATGCAGGATGAGGTTGATGAGTTCATTTATTCAATGATTTGTGCCATGCTTTTTTTCTGCAGGATGATCTCTTTCGTTTTATTTGGTATTCTGCGTACATATTTCGGATTGTGATTACATATATCTTACAATTGCAACTTCATATCTCTATGCTGTGACGTATTGTGACTTTTTATCTCACAGTTGTTAGGTTATTATTTCTCACAGGAATGTTATTTCTCTGCAACTAATTATTCATATAATTGTGACT